ATCTTACTCGGTAATTTTACGCATGTCATACACTTGGCCAAAGACGTGTGGCTTGTGTTTCTCGTGTTCCTGCGCCATGACTAGGGTCTCGTGTTCCCCCCCCCCCTGAGAACTGGCCTCAGGTTCGCGTCATTTGCAACCCTTTTGACTTGACATTTGGAAATAGAACCTCAAGATTCAACCAAAGCCAGTACATTCAGAAGGAGGTGTTTGATCGCAGGGTTCCCACCCACCCATTCCTCACGCTCATAGGCTCCCGCAACCGCCGCATTGCAATGAGCGTCTACCGAGACGACTCTGGAACTCCCTGAACCACCTCGCTGGGACTTCGAGCGCCGTTCTCTTGTTCCATAATTGGAGATACTCGAGCGTTTCAAATTATCTAAGAATAGTGCGCTAATTGGGATTCTTTATTTTGGACCCCAACTTTTGAAGATTCTCACTAGCCTCAACTACCCCTCTCAGCCCCAAGCCAGAAGGTCTACACGAGCTCTTATCCAGTGCTTTTTTCACTCTATCCCCAATTTAGGATGACTGCTCAGCCTCAGCCACCAATGCCACTATCTCTAGTTCATGATTCGATACACCAGCCACTGATGTCTTTGTCGGAAAACTGATTACTTGCAATTTCTCCCTTCTCGCTGCACCGCCGGCTTTCAAGCCAAGGATCCCTATTCGATTGTGACCTTGTTTGGGATATCTTCTATCTCTTTCAATTAACCTCGCTTGGCGCGCACACCAGGCTACCATTTCTTCAATACATTCTCTCCTCGCCTTCCTAGGCACCAGGAAACCACATTGTTTATACCAAGGCTCTGATTACGCGCGACAACCTCACGAAGACAGATTGTTATATTTTTATCATACTCTATTTTATCAAACGCCGCCGGACTGTTTGTTCATGGATCATCATGAGATGTCCCTCGTGTCACATATACCCCTCAATACATTTTATGTCCCCATACTAACCGCCGACGGAATTATGGCAAGAAGCTAACCTTACCACAATGCCAATATCGGTTGTATTATCGCAACCTCTTCCAACAGCCCAGCCGGGCTAGCTCAATCGGTAGAGCGTAAGACTCTTAATCTTAAGGCTGCGGGTTCGACCCCCGCGTTCGGCTATTCCTACAAACCAAACCTGAGATTTCTTTTTTTTTTGCGCTGATGAAAATTCTGCTTGAGCCTCCTCTGCTCATACTCGAATCTGAGTGGCTGATGTCGGCAAATGGATCCACTAGTGGGTCGGGCCGATGCTTTGAGAAATGCCTGACAGGCAGAAGATTATGTTTTGCATACATGGATACCTACCTATTCTACGCATAAACAAACATATAGTACCTCGTAAATTATATGCATCCGTGCAACATGAGAATTCTTCAAGTATGACTAGTAGAGTAAAATCCAGGCCATGTGTGGCTTGACTAGGCCCGAGCGCAAGGCAGAGAACGCCTTGTGCAGATAAGGGCGTGATAAGGTTTATCCTTCAGCTGGGCATGGATCATTGGAGACTATATTGTATGTAGGCATGGGATTGACCTTTCCGGTTAGACTTGCCATATTCTTTTGTATGATTCGTCATTGGGGGCTTTATGTTGCCCGGGTGAAAACCTAGATGAAAACCCGTTGCGGATATATATTGCTCAGCTGAATGTTACATGTAGTGGTTGCACCATCAGATCGGTTTTATATCGTGATTCTAAACCTACTCACATACAGATGATTCCTAACTGTAATTATTTCAGACAAAATATGTCCACTATCTACTGGACTTCGGGATATCCAGGGGAGAAGTTCTGAACTACTTCAAGTATGCTATTTCAGTCAGCATGGCAGCCTACAACAGATTGCAATTCCGGCTTGAGAGTGAAAAATACCGACGACATTTGCCACCAAGGCTGATCGCAACAGCGTGATACTTTGTTTGAAGGCTTACTGCCCCTCAATCTGGTCATCTGTCTTAAGTATTGCTTTGTAATGGCAACCCGCATTCGAAGCGATCGACATGCTGAATCTTCCAGGGCTTTCTTTACCTTCACTCCCCCTCTTTCATCCACCACGGTAGCCTTGATCAAATGAAATTGGTCTATTGCCGGTCATATCGCTGCTAGATACGGGCAAACGGTAGCCTTGAATACCTGACGATGTACGCCAATCTAGATATTAATGCGTAATGAGTACAACGGGTGCGTTATGTCTATTTCATTGGGTATGCCACCGAATTTCGGCGAGGTTTATTATTCTACCAAAGGCGAGAAGCCCCAGTGATAGACTTACCGTTGGTATGAAAAGCGGAGAATGGTAGGTATAAGAGGTCATGTGGCCCCTGCCTCTTTGCTCCCTGATTATTTAGTCGTAAATCCTGCACCTAGTTTCTTCTTTCTCTAGACTAAGTGGTATTTTCTAGACTACTTCTTAGAGTAGTTGTATTATATGAGCTGCTGGGTATGACCGTTGAACAGCACCCAGGGAGTGGAAGCCTCCCTCTCTCTCTGGGCTTGAAAACCAAAGCAAACATAACAAGTGGCGCTTTCAGATATTAGATAGAAGTCTGTAGGATGATAGAAGAAGAAAATCTCGTAGGTAAGATGTAAGAGGCAGCTCACCTCCCAATGAAACCATGTTACTATCTCGAACCGGTGCTATTGTGCTGGGCACACTTGCAATGATGAAACGTGAGTGTGTGTATAACCCACATGTTTCCACTGGGTCTGTTCAGTCTACTGACAGCATAAGATCCCTACATGATAAAATAATAAAACACGAGAACGGCATAAAATCCATGGATCTTTAGTTTGACTGGAGCATCAAACGTCCATGGCAAGTCAAGAAGAATCGATATCCAGTTTCTGGCGTGGCGGATTACTCCCTATGCTTTAAGCACCACAAAACCATGGAGCCAACCTAGTATTACTTGAGGCGACGAAGCCTGGGTTTCTAAAGGGTGGCGTGTTCCATTGCCTGGCATACATGGGTAAGTGATCTTGAGTTACACTTTACAAACATCCATAAATTTATGTGCTGAGATTAATAGGGATGATCCACCATGCAAGGAAAAGCGCTAAGACGAAGGACACATCCGTATGTGGAGTGGCCACCGATAGTTTCGACTGGGAGTTCATCCAATCCGAGCGAACAGCCAGGTATGGAAACCCAAGAAGCATATAGAACATCACTAATAAATCATTTAGTATATTATAACTCGAAGCTACTATTAGAAAACTAGGAAAGTCGAGATTATTTCCCTTCTCTACAAGATCTTCCACCAGATTGTGGCAGATTGTGGCAACACGATACGGATGGCCATGAGCAACATTCGAGGTCGGTGTCCCTCTCTAGCCTTGCTTCACAGCACGGTACAGATAGCTGTTCTATTCAAACATGGCCTAAGCAGTAAGGTTTCGTTATACCCTCTAGTTTCCGCCCCCGAGTCTAATGCGCTACGGATTACCGTCCTCGGTCGCTTTTTGAGGAAGAAGATGACGAGGATATCACTCCAACGCTTGATCCTTTCATGCTATTTCCCAAACCCCTAATGGACAGCGAGTGTGATTCTGCATTATTGCTTATTTCGCCGCGAAACAAGAGAAAGGTGTGGCACATAAGAGCGTTAATACCAGCGGTAGCGATTTCGATGACTCTGATGATATTCAAGACTTTATACATGTATGTAAGAACGCCGACGTGTTTTGAATGCTCTTTCTAGATGTCTTTCTAGATCTCGTTCTAGATGTATATAGAGCCTGTTAAGAAGCGTACACAGTACAGAGGTCTTTTCTATGTATAACTAGGGACGTGACGCCCTACACATAATGAAGACACTAGTCCAAAAGGGGATAGCTGTTTGTCCCATGGTTCATGGGTGAGCCCCCCTGCGCTACACGAAGCCTATTCAAGCCTATTGTAAGAACTAGACCAGATCCATACCTTGAGAAGTGTGCCTCTACTGGAATGGTACTATGGGTAAACAATGCTACCCATAGAGACGAATCAGTCAGCATTGCTAGGTCTCCAATACTCCTGTTTGTTGTCGGAGCATACCCCATGTGAGATAAATAGACTCATGAGCAGCGCCTTCTCGCACCTCAGTGGCAGAAGGCTAGTCATATTCCTTAATGGACTTGACAAAACGAGCAGATTCTCGGCAAAGTTCAAGTGTACACTACCGGGTACCTTGGGCTTTATAGACCTCATCGGCCTCGAAGACATCATCTAGTTTAAGACTAAATTTGTCCAAGATTTGGACCGGTTGCCAGAAAAGGTATATGGAACATAGTATATATCGGATGAAGCATACCGCTCCCTACTTTCTACATAACTGAGCTTCGCCCATGCAATTAGTCCCCAATCTCCACATAGTTGAAACGTAGTCCCGCACCGGGCAACATCTGACGCCGAATTGGCATCGCCGTAGGAACATCGTGCTTTGATGGCCGTGGGGCATGGTTTTCCTTTGTGCCTTATTCTCATTTTTTTCTGCAGATTCTTGTGGGGGCCATAAAAAGGGTCTCTGCCCTACAGTTAATATTAGATGATGCCTGAATCAACGATAACTAATAGTCACTCGGAGCGTAAGTTACAATAGTAGAGCAGGAAAATTAAGACTCAGGCAAATATCAGTGCTTGAGGAAATGCATGCAATACTTAAATAAGGCCCACGGCACGTGGAAGATCGGGCAAAACTGATTGGAGGAGAATTTAGCTCCACGCTCGTACTATAGCATAATATTGAACGTGAATATTTTCACCAATTTCCCTTTTAGGAAATAAGGCAACAAATTCTGGTGACGGTAACAACGATCTCTATTAGACGATTCCAAACCGGCAATTGTCACATTGTCACCTGGGCGCTGGAAATCACTCATCAACTAGGTCAGACGTTTGGTCTATTTTTGTCGAAAAAGGAGATAACTATAGGGGTATCTGTTGTATAAAAGGATGGACGACCTACACATCATTTTACTGTATCCTTCTTTTGACAGCCTACGGTGGAATCCAAAATGCGTTCTATCTTCCTCGGAACGTCCCTTTCGTTCCTTTACGCAGTCAGCGTAGCTGCTGTCCCTGGCTCCAATGCCAAAAGTTCCTCCGCAGCACCCTCTGCAACTCCAGTCTTTAAGGTAAAGAACCTAGCTGCCGCGACAGATACGACCGTATCATCTGCATCATCTTGGAAGGAAGCCAAGTGCACTACCGACATTACCGACGCGACACTGGATCCCACTACTCGTTGGGAGGCAGCCAAAGCCGACGATGCCCTGAACGAAGCCCTGGATGCCTGGTCTACTTCTGGTGCTGCCAGTGGCTTGGGATTCCCTGAGTTTATTAGCAACTACTTCACTGGCCCGGACAACTGGAACTGTGGAGATATCGGTAACACTCCTTGCTCCACCGTGATGACCTGTAACCAGGCCGACTATCCTGCCGGGTGAGTAGGCACAGGCTTTTTTTAAATACACAACACACAAAATTGAAGACTAACATGGGCATTTAGGTATCTGATTATGAATTCTTTCTCCTCGATCCACCAGGTATATCATCTTTTTCTCTGAATTTCACGGGCAGTCGACCAACTAAAAATATCCTCTACCAGCTTCATCAACAAACCTATGACGCTCTCGGAGATGCCCTTAACACAATGCAAAATGAAATTGGTCACTTTGCGAGCATCTTTGCCCCTCAGGCCGAAGACAACACCGAAATATTCAAGTACATAATCGATGCCGTGGTCTTGGTGGCTAGCATTGGCAGCTCTTTTGCATGGAATATTGGTAGGTGTACGTTCTGGCAGCAACGTGCTTTTGGTGCTGATGAGGTATCACAATTTTAGCATTCAAGGGCCTCGCTATGGCCACATCGAAGTGGTTCTCGATGGGAAAAGACGTCACCAACGCAGCGCTCATTTCCTTTTCCACCACAATGGGCAAAGACTCCATGCAGTCGTCAGTTACATCTTCCTTCTCGGGTTTTATCCTTGAACTAATGTATATACTACAAACAGCGCTAAAGATGCATTGGGCACCCAGAATGGCATTTCCTCCGCTCTTGGAACTTACTTCTCGGCCTGGACTGGCTTGGAGAGCGGATATATCACCTCACTCTTTGCTGGAGCGAGCGATGAGGCTTCAATTAACGCTCTGAAAACCCTGACTGCCAATGGTTCAATGCTTCTACTTTCACCTAAAGTAGATCTGAGTGGAATGACTTCTCAGGCAGAAAAGATCCTCTACGGACAGTTGATTCCGGCCGCTTGGGCAATATCTCCCGAAACCCTCTATCCCCGAATTCTGTGAGAGAAACACTCTTATATCATTTTCCGAATAAGAATAAGTTACTAACCAGTTACCTTTTATTGGCAGGCGGAAGGCCGGAGCTTGTTCTACATCGATTGACGGAGATGTTCTCAGTTACATGTCTAAGGACACTCTAGTCGGCGGGTATGTCTGCTACAATAACGACGCTTTCTATGTCGTGAACATCAATGCCTCTCCTGGCAGTCAGCCTTTCGAAGCCCTCCCTGGAGGAAATCATCAAACCCTTAATGGCAATGACTGGGGCGGTGTCATCCTCGAGGATATGGTCCAAAGCTCGTACCAGGCATACCAGCTGAACGGCAACGCAAATGGCTATGAAATGCCAGCTCTGTCAAAAATTATTGACGGATCAGGCACCGAGGGTGATTTGGTTTTCGAGAATGGAATTCGCACCCCGGGATTCTTCACCCTGCCAATTTGCGACGATATTCAGACAGCATACAACATTGTCGGAGGGGGTGGCGCAAAGGGGAAGTACTGGCCTTGTGATGCACCTGCAGGATACAATGCTGGTGGAACGAACGTGGTGCGTATCCAACAAAAAAAAAACGAAGCACCTAGTGTAAGGATTCTTTGGGCTAACATGAAATCATGAAGCACGTCAACAATGGATGCATCAATGTGAATGGCGAGAATATTTGCAAGTCTCAGACCAAGTACACCAGTATGTTTCCACGATTGTTAAAATCTCCTTCTGTGTGGATCGGTATACTCACAAGACAACAGACATTGCAGATCAAAGTACGGGCAACATTACCGCGACCATCTACGCGCAGTTCGAAGGAGACGACAAGACCGACTACAAAGTTACTCCTGGCTGCAAGCTGGAAGCTTCCTGGCCCCGTTCCTATGGTGACGTCTACTTTGGGGCCAACAACTGCCTGTACGATTCTACCGGCACGAACATCAACGGCCAGTGTTGCACCGAGACGACCACGGACTCGGTTCTCAACCCGTACTATGGATATTAGGTAAGTATGGTGGTGTAATCGGTAGATGACACTTCCAGTGTCATTTACTATAGGGAGTGTATGTATGAGTGTGTTCAGGTTGTGGATGGGAGAAGTTGACGTATTCTCATTACGAGGATATCAGAGGAAACCCCCACACCCGGCTGCTTGGATCAGGTGGATTATGGCCGGTTTGTTCTTCAATTTAATTTAGAGGAACGAACAGATTGTTCCTGTTCCAGGGAAGATACGAGATACCCTAGATGTAACATGAGGTGGTCCAATCGTTGTATATTTCAGTTCACACAGGTATTCTTTCCGGTATGGCATCTCAGTCAACACCAGCCTTTACCACACACACACACACATACACCCACCCACAGCACTTAAGACTTATTGAAACACGTAGAGCAAAAATAGAAAAGCAAAAAAGAAATCTTAGGTTTGGTTTTTAGGAATAGCCGAACGCGGGGGTCGAACCCGCAGCCTTAAGATTAAGAGTCTTACGCTCTACCGATTGAGCTAGCCCGGCCGGGCTGTTGAAGACGGTTAGGGGATGTGGCTATTTATATGGATGATGATAGCATTGAAGGCACTTTTGATCGAGATATTTACTGTTTTCTGGTTTTATATAGAGACTGAACTTTCTAGTAGTTTGGTGCCCAAGGTTAAGGCCAACTATTTGGAAGAGCGTACCCCATAGTCGATAACGTAAATTATCTACCCTCCAAAGATAAGAGTAGAAACCGGAATAATCGGCAATTGGCGAGCAAAGACGTGCAAAGATCCAATTGCGGGGAAATGATTCGAGGGGTTTGCCGATGAGGTGGGTTGGTCGCCTACTGGAAGATAATAACGGAACCTATACGGGGCCAATTGTCCGACTTGCTCGGATATATAAACCCCGGATGAATACAGGGATACAGCTTGACATTTACTTTTCCGACGCAACTACATATTTTGATATTGCCTCTAACATGCAAGTAAAAGGTACTACTATCTAAACAGGGTCAATTGAAGAGTATAAATACTCACCTATACAGAAGACAACAGCAATGATCTGGCCAACGTCATCAATCGCTACAGGCCAGATCTAAAGCCCTTCGAAGATGTCTATCGCCACCTACACACCAACCCTGAACTATCAGGCCAAGAAGAACAAACAGCAAAGATAGCATCTGACCACCTCAAGACCATCGGCTTCGAAGTCCACACAAAAATCGGTGGCCATGGCGTGGCAGGCATCCTCCGCAACGGCACCGGCCCAACAATCCTCTTACGGGCGGATATGGACGCATTACCCGTAGAAGAACAAACCGGTCTACCGTACGCAAGCACCCGACACGTCAAAGATGAAACTGGCGGCGATAAACCTGTGATGCACGCCTGCGGACACGACTCCCACGTCGCAACGCTAATGGCCACCGCAACACTCCTGCAATGCGCGCGCGACCACTGGTCCGGAACATTGATCTGTATCTTCCAGCCTGCCGAGGAACACCTCGATGGCGCGCAGGCGATGCTGGATGATGGGCTGTACGACAAGATTCCCAAGCCGGACCTTGTGCTCGCGCAGCATGTCATGCGCATGCGCGCGGGGACGGTCAATCTCCGCGCTGGGCCATTACTGACTGCCGCCGATGCCTTCAACGTGCGCGTCTTTGGGCGTGGAGGTCATGGGTCTGCGCCGCATACGACTATCGATCCGATCGTGGTCGGTGCGGCGATCGTTATGCGACTTCAGACTATTGTCTCGCGAGAGATCACGCCTGGAAAGTTGGCTGTTGTTACCTGTGGTAGTATTCATGCTGGACAATCGCCAAATATCATTCCGGCGTATTTGGATTTGCAGCTGAATGTGCGGACCTACGATGCGGAGGTGCGGAAGCGTGTGTGTGCTTCCATTCATCGCATTATTGAGGGTGAATGTCTGGCTGCTGGGGTTGAACAGAAACCTGAAATTAAGCTTACTTATTCGACGCCGTCGACTATTAATGATGGAAAGACTATTGATGCTCTTCGTGAAACTTTCAGTCCATACTTTGGTGATCGGCTGGTTGATATGGAGCCTCCGACTGCTAGTGAGGACTTTTCTTTGCTGGCAACTGCTGTGGGCGCGCCTTATGTTATGTGGATGTTCGGTGGAACTGATCCTGAGACTTGGGATGACGCTGTTGCTAAGGGGACTGTTGATGAACTGCCTAGTAACCACTCGCCGTTCTATGCACCGGTTATCCAGCCGACGTTGTGTACGGGTGTGGATGCTATGGCACTCGGGGCATTGACTTTCTTGAACAAAAAATGAGTATAGACATTATTGATTTTGCATAAATCTAAATATTCAAGACATAATCTTCACACCCTGACGCTAAGATGTAAAAGGTGAAACAAGGCGAAGTGCGGGTGAGGTCATCAACTTCCCTTTAAAAAAGTGGCAACACCACATCTCTCAGCATCACAACAAAACAACATACCCATCAAATCCAAAATGGCATCTGCCCAACCCACGCAAATGAAAGCCTGGCTCTACTCCAGCACAACCAACGGCCTAGAAAAGAATCTCAATTTCGATGCGTCGGCACGTGCACCACCAGCCGTCCACGGCAACAATGTCCTAGTCCAAGTCCTCTCAGCCTCGCTGAATCCCGCCGACTATAAAGTCCCCGAAATGGGCCTAGTAGGCCTAGTAGCACAAAAATTTGTCATCGGCACACCCGCCTCACCGGGAATGGACTTCTGCGGACGCGTGGTCGTCTCCGGCGACGACGCGACCGAGTTTTTACCCGGCCAGCTCGTGTACGGCTGTCTCAGCCAGCCTGGTCAATTCGGTTCTCTGGGCGAGTACCTAGTGACATCTGCTAGTCTGCTTGCGCCCGTGCCGGAGGGCGTAGAGGTTGATCATGCGGCGTGCATTGGCATTGCTGGACAGACGGCGTACCAGTCGTTGGCTGGGTACGTCAGTGCCGGTGATAAGGTGTTTATCAACGGCGGTTCTGGAGGATGTGGAATTTTCGCGATTCAAATTGCTAAGGAGATGGGATGTCACGTTACTACTACTTGTTCGACGAAGAATGTGGAGTTTGTTCGTGGGCTGGGCGCTGATGAGGTTATTGATTACTCGGTTGAGGAGGATTTGGTTGCTACGCTGCGTGATCGTGGAGTTATCTTTGATCATATTGTTGATCATATTGGATACCCTGCGCCGATGTATCGTGAGTCGCATCACTTTTTGGCGGCTGGGAAGACCTTTGTGCAGGTTGGTGCGTCGGGCGTGGGGACTTTCGTTGATCGGTTGATTTGGCCGAGTTTCTTGGGTGGTGGAAAGAGGAAGTACGTTGTCTTTTTCTTCAAGAATACTCGTGAGGATCTTGTGAAGATGGGTGAATGGGTGCAGAAGGGAGCTGTCAAGATTCAGCTGGATACTGCCTACGAGTTTGAGGATACCGTAAAGGCATTCGAGAAGCTTCGCTCTGTCCGTGCCAGAGGAAAGATTGTTGTGCACGTGGCTAAACCGTGAGTTGAGGTCAAATACAAATATTCCTTGTCAGTCGAAGTGGTCATTTTAGGGTTTGACGAGACTACCTCTCCGCGCCGAATCGGGAAATCATCTGAGAAAGGCATAGTAGCAAGCTTCAACGTAAACTTGACGATATATCTGACTATGTAAGTGGAATGGAATGGTCTCCTATCCTGATCTACTGTTCTCCTCTTCATCGCTCAACACTTTACAATCGTCATCCACACTTTACAATCATCAACAAGTTGAACCTATTTGCTTGTTCAATATGCAATTTCCATTATTCCCTTGTCTGGGTACATTTGCTAGGTTTCCCATAGAAATCCGCCTGATTATATGGGAGTACCTCTTCTCGACCCTTCGCATACGACCAGTCAAGGACATCCTACACAAGCACAACCCCCTCTCCATTATTTGCACCAGTAAATACCTCTACAATGAGATTTCGTCCCATTTATTCCACGACTCCATCCAACACATCTCTCTGAACCCAGAATATAACGAGGAAGAGTGGATGAGCATACAATTGAAGTCCAGGACCGTGGACATCAAGTGGACTCTCAGGAACAGAGCAGACACCGAAAGACATTTCCACAACTTCCCACATTCAAAAACGACGATGAACATACATATCAATCCCCCAGATCCAACAGATCCCGGTCAAATGGTGTTGATATGGCAGAAAGCCAATGCGTTAGTCGATCTCCTAATTAGCACCACACAGTCGGATATAGTGGTAGCCACAAATGGTGTATGGCATTCAGACCCACCAGCTCACTGGCAACGAGACAAAGATATATTTTATGAGATGGGTGGTCTACGGGAGACAATCAAGTCTAGCAAATACCGTCCCGACTCCGACATTGCTATATTACCCTTCCTTCGTCTGGAACTATGGGTCAAAGATCCTGCAACAAGTGTGCCCGGCATGTCAGAGGATGTATACGTTCACTTACACCGGCGTCTCGTGTCTTTATTCGACCAAACCGGTATCCAGGTTCGATTAAAGAAGCTTCTCCACATGAACCAAGACATAGCCGTCCAGCAAATTGAAAGCGCAATCATTGACACCAACATGTTCTTGGAAACCAGCCTGGATGAACTACCAGGCGAAACAGCAAGTTTCCTTCGTCTTCAACGATTCAAGAACTGGTTTGAGCACGGGACAAGCTGGGAATCCTTATACGAAACACAACTCTACAACCAATTATGTACCTGTCCGTGGGTTATCATGAACACGGATCCGTGGCTCCATCGCTCGAATCAGAGATATATCATTCTCATTCTACTACACCATGCTATGTATGCGTTCAGATCGACTTCAAATGACGGACTTGGGATTTATGACAATTCAAGGATATATCCCAGATGGGACCGGGGATTATGGTTGGAGATATTTCCATCTGGTCTTCCACCGCTCAGCGATGTTCAAATTTGGCTTTCAAGGTTCTGGCCCGATAACTTCCAGTTTCGAAAAGTTCATGCTTATACGGATTGGGTATATCGACGACGAGCGGAGGAAACTGGAGTCAAGGAATGTAGATGTCCACTTGTACACCGTTTGATCTTGTGGAGCCATTGAAGGCTTTTGAGGTTGGATTTATTGGTGAATATCGAAGGTAATAGTATGTGTGAGATCTTTTGGTTCAGGTCGGATTGGACAGTCATTACTGGTGCAACAATATCATATCTACCAGGTTGACGGAATGATTCGTGTTATGGGTTGGTTGGAATATTGGAATATTGGAATCTGCTTCATGTCTATCGTGAAGGGAACTAGCTAAGGGTACCAACAGATCATGTTCTCACTACGAATTGTTTATGCTTATAGCTGAGACAGAATATCAACCATTCTCACTGCAATAGTTGAGTGACAATAAGTTGTGCATCCCTAGAAATCACTAAAAAAAACGTCTCAAGGCTGCGTAAGCGGCCAACTATACTTGTGTTAAACGAGGTATATTTCAGAGATGTCTCCGAATGCCTATATGATAAATCCAAATCCTCAATTAGAGGGCAGAATGCTTTGAGGGATCATCCTTCAACGGCGCTGAATAATCATAGTCGTCTATATCAAGCATTTCAATCCGGTGCGTCGTCATGTTTTCCTGAGTCTGCGCCTCGACCTTCTTCTGCAACCGTGCATCTTCCCCAAAGCCATCTTCGCTGTTCAGGGTCTTACGAGCATCAGATGATTCCCGGTCTTTAACACCAGCCACACGCTCATTCTCCAACCGCTCCTTCTCCTGTCGCTTGTCCTCGTCAGCGAGAGCAGCTTCTTCGCGCTCAATCTCGCTAGGATCAAGGTCCTGAAGCCCGATAAGAGCCAGAATTCTGCCAAGCAGAAACTGGTACCGCAGGTGGCCGCTGATCATTTCGCTAACGTTGAGGTTTTCAACACCTGGAACACCTTCAACTGGCTGCAATCCGGCGACACCGAGTTGAAGGCTGCTTGTTCGGTAGAGGAAAGCCAGGACAGAGTCATTCTCAGAGAACACGTTCACAACACGTCCGCTTACGACACTGCGAATCCTTTGCCAGTCTTCTGTGTCTGAAGGGGTGGGTGAGCCCATCACAATGACCGACTCGACCAGGCCGTAGGCGTTTCTCCTTTCTAGACTTTGGAGGCAGGAGAAAATCAGCCGAGATCCCAGAGAATACCCCATCAGGGTCACGGGTCGTTCTCCCTGGGCTTTGTTGATCAGGGCATCAGCGAGAACCTCACCAGCTTTGTCGGCGCGGGCTTTTGCCACGCTAAACGGGTTGTCAACGACGCCAGCGACTTTCATAAGACCCAAGGGAAGCATCACCGCGCTCATGATCGTGGAGAAGACAGTACGAGCCAAGACTTCACGTCCGGCAACTGACCATGCTGCGCTAGTCACAAGAGCCGAGATCGCGTTACCCAAGTTCATCAAAGGCTCCATCTCCCAGCGAAGACCGAACACCTCAGAGTCGGCACCAATCACCCGCCATGGGATCACGAAGTTCGACTCCTCCTTGACCCAACCGGTGACACCGATGGTAACTCGTAAACGATGATCTTGCTCAGCAGACTTCTTATCCGCAGACTCTTTGTCTGCAGACTGCTTATCTTTCCCGTTCCGGCGGCGTTCTCCTCGGATCGGTATGAATGCAAAGTCATCCACTTCACGTGCGTACTTCTCCATCATGCGACCAGTCATACGCCCACCATAAGCGCCAAACAGACCGCCGACAACGACGCTACTCCCGGCTAAAGTACCCAGAAGCCCAGCAGCAGCGGTAGCGCCAAGTCCCAATCCGCCCATGACAGTTCCCAGGCCCGCCGCTACCAATGGGGCTGCGAGTCCGCCAGTGAGGCCAATTAATGCTGCTCCAGCCACAGATGCAATGCCCACTTTCCATTTCCTCATGTCATCTTTTTTCTTTGGTTGCTCTTTGGTATCTTGGTCTGCTGAAAGCGCCAAAGCTGTCTGCAGCAAGCCGCGAGCGACACTGACTTCGTCTTGATTGAGTATGTTGATATCTATGTTCAGACTGGATGTGACATTCAACATCAAGACTCTTGAATAAGCACTGTAGTGCTCTAGGCTGAGCATTAAAAGGAGAAGGGAGTGAAGAATAAGCAGTCTTGTTGCTTTAGGGAGTTCAGCCAAGGGTGTTTCCACAGGATGGTATATTTCTTGTAATTTGGCCATTCTATCTTTATCCTCATCCAATGGAATATCAGACTTGGCAGCGTCCTGCAGCTCTTCTTGGCCTTCCCTTTCCCCCTGACCATCGTCATCTTTATTGACGACCGCGCCAACACGCAAAAGGACAGAATCCCTCCAATCCTCGAAGGCAGAGAGAGCAGTGACTTTTGCTTGAAGACTCAACGGCTTGCCATTAGAGCCATGCCGTGGGCTTCCGTTGTTTCCTGAAGCCTCCTTGCCTTGTGGCCTTGGGGGCAAGGGTGGCGTGTCTTCATCGCGTTCCGCCTCCGGGGATGGACGCGGATTCGAGCGATTGGGAGAGTTATCTTTTGGATTTGTGTGCTCATAAATCTCTAAAATGCGAACCCGCATTGACTCGGCTACCTCAGCGACGAGGACAGTTAAGTCAGCACGCTGCGACCGGTCCAAGATCGATGATAGATCTTGGCCGCGATCGCTTTCTGAAGCATTGGATTGCTTGGATTCAAAGAATCCACCGTGTTTTTTTTTGAAATTTTTGAACATTGGCGCCGAATAAAGGTGTAAATAGGAGTTGTCAACTTTTTGAAGAGCAAACAGGTAGAAGCTGTTGTTCCAAGGTAGGAGAGGGGCGATGCTGTCATGGGCCCCCGATAGTCACGGGTATCGGGGCCGCTTACTCCGCTAATGGCCTGAGGCAGAAACATCTGAGCATGTTGATATCGCCCTGCTCTGCTTCATGCGGGATATTTATGCATCCTGCTTATTCCAATGCCGTAGAGAGTTGAGGGAACAACTCAATTGCTGATTTCAACAACAAAATATTTCCCCTTTGTCTTTGTAGCGGACCCGAGCGCATTCCCATCCCAAGCTGTTCCATCCGGACGATCGTTTTTTTCACCTGGGACACGCTGAATTTTCCCCCGTCGTCCGGACACCTTTTCCTTAGCTAGAGCCTCTCTGAGCTTTTCGATTCCAATAGTTTCCTCTTCTATAGCAGCAGGGCTTTCGTCGCGAATTCTAGCCAACGGTGCGACGCCGGTAGTATCAACAAGTTGGATCTCCTTCACAAAATGAATTTGGGACTCGAGTGTGTCAAGCATGGACTGCTCTTCTTCTTGATTGGCAGGTTGGGGAAGAGCCGAGATGCGCAGCAGATGATGGAGTTGTGTCGGCGTGATTGATGGCGGCGGCTTTGAAGCAGGGTTCGGGAGCAGCGACCGGACAGACCAGTTCGGCGCGCCAAGTATAAACTCAATGTCTGCACTGTCGGATTTTTCAGAAGAGTAGAAGCGAGAGAAGGCCGTGTTGAGTCGGGAAGGACCTGGGCGCAGCGACTTGGGTAGCCGAGCAGCAGTGCGAAGAGAGGTCATTGTAGAGTATCTGGGGATGAAGACCTTTTCCGGGGGGGAATATAGGAATGAACGTAGTCGAGTGAGATAGAAAACACGGTCTAATATATGAACGGTATAGTGTAAAAATAGCCAAAGTCACAAGTCACCAAAGTCGTTGGTCGGGAGCTTAGGCGGATACCGAAAAATAAGTGACACCGCCTCCACGGGCCCGCCGATCGATGCTCTCATCGATAGCAACCCTGTTTGGCCACAACACTTCAACTCCACATCGAATATCTGCGGACTACTGGCTATCGCAGGAAAACCAGACACATATACTCAAGATGACTCAAGATCCCCGTGTCCTGCTCCAAAAGGTACATGCTTCCCCGCCTTGATTGCATAGGCAATGACGATAGTCCGCATAGCTGACCAGACCTCGCTCGTTGCGATGAAATAGGCCGACAAAGCGCTGTCCGGTGCCACTGGCGGCTTCAGCTGGTTTGGAGGAAGAGCAGAGAAGTATGAGAGTGCCGCAGATCTGTATACTCAGGCTGCAAATGCATTCCGAGTACAGAAAATGAGTAGGATACCTACCCCGCGACCTAGCTGGATTAAGCCAGATGACTGATGTGTGTCCTCAAATAGACAAGGAGGCAGGCCAGGCTTTCGAGAAAGCTGCCTCCATCCAAACTCAGAGCCTCAACGAACCCGACGACGCTGCCAATAACCTCCAAGAAGCGTTCAAGGTCTACCGCAAGACAGACCCCGAGGATGCTGCTCGCGTGCTTTCCAGTGCCATCCAGCACTACGTACTGCGAGGAAACTTGCGCCGCGCGGCGACGCAGCAGCAATATTTGGCTGAACTCTATGAGGTGGAGCTTGGAGATATGAAGAAGGCGCTGGAGGCGTACGAGAAGGCTGCTGAGTGGTTTGATGGTGATAATGCTGAAGCGTATGTATCCCATGATTTGATTGATATCTGTCAATTCGAAGAAACAAATTGGCTAACACATACTTCAAATATAGCCTTGCAAACAAGCACTACCTCAAAGTGGCAGACCTGGCCGCCCTGGAAAGTGATTACTACAAGGCCATCACCAACTACGAACGCATCGGCCGCAGCTCTATTAACAACCACCTGATGAAGTGGTCTGTGAAGGATTATCTCTTGAAGGCAGGCATCTGTCACCTTGCCACAAAAGTATGTTGTTTCCATCTTATTATTTTCATAGGAAACAAAGTATTAATTACATATTTAGGATCTTGTTGAGACTAACCGTGCTTTGGAATCATACCGTGAACTTGATCCTTCCTTTGGTTCGACAAGGGAGCACCAGCTGCTCGTGGACCTGACCCAAACTGTTGAGGGTGGTGACCAGGAGGGCTTCGCTGACAAGCTCTTCCAGTTTGACCAGCTCAGCAAGTTGGACAAGTGGAAGACAACCCTCCTTCTACGGATCAAGAATAACATTGAGGAAGCTGAGGAGGACTTCTCGTAAATGGCGATTGATTTCTTCAGTGATTCCCCGCGCGTGATGTCTAGAGAATTTTGATTCTCGAGTTTTTGGCTTCTTTGTTCGTTTGTTTATCTTGAGAATTTTCTGGTCTGGAAATGAAAACAGATCAATGCTACCTACCCTCCATTGCTTCTAGTGGTTTATTTTATCTGACACTTCCTGGTGATATTTATCACTATTCGCCTGGGAATATCAAATCCTCATATCCTCAATTCTGGCCATTCAGATACTACTGTTCAATACGGAACGCAAGTGGAGAAGATTCGTAATTCATCATTTTAAGATGCCTCAGGTCTATATATACTTTTTGGGTGTATCAAGCTCCCTTTAATAGCAGAGCTGCCCCCCATCATGTAATCAGTTCAGTCAAATGGTATCATATCATCCACCTCGCCAGTGCTATTGACATCAACAGCTTACGCAGCAATCGCATCCAAAGCCTTGGCCTTGCGAGGGAAGACGCGCTTGTACAAACTGACACCCACAGAGTCTTGCGGGTTGATCTTGGCATCGAAGGTAGCCTTGAAGTATCCGTGTGTACCCAGGCTCTCCTTGAAGTATCCACTGCGGCCACGACGGGTCCACAACTGGAGTGCCTTGAACCACTGGATATCCTCGGCGTTGAAGAACATGTACCGGATGGTAACAACCTTCTTGTGGATCTTGTAGGGGTGACCAGTGAGAATGGCACGCTTGGCGACCACGCGCTTCTGATCAGGTGCGACAACGGTACCGGTACCGATCAACTCAAGTTGGTCTAGGGCAATCGGCTCCTCCTTAGCGTCGGCGGTCTCCATCTCGTCGTCATCGTCCTCCTGCTCGGCTTGCTTCTGCTTAAAGACAAGGACAGGAACTGAACCCCAGGTCATGGGTCCAATCCAGGATGCGATGGCACTACGACCAGGGTGCAAGTATCGGTCGTATTTGTGAACGTTGTTCGGCGTGTTATCAGCCGAGGAGAAGATGGGGTTGATGACCATGCGGCGGGCACCGCACTGGACGACGAGCTGCTCCTTGGCCTTGAGAGGCTTCTCTACGCTGGAGCTCAGGGTCATGCTGATGTTGACCACAGTCTGCTTGTGCTCGTGGCGGAGCAGAGAGAAGAGCGAAATAGGCTTAGGGCTGTTGCGTAGAATGGAAGGAACTGCGCGAAGGTGGATATCCACGCGAATACCAGGGTTAACGCCGCCGGCCAACGCCTCTCGAATGACGCGGGCCTTGGAACCCCTGACATCGGCAAACTGCAGCAGTCGGCGCCAATCCTCGGGCTCGTAGGGACGATCCTCGGATGTTTCCCAGTGGCTGAGCTTGAGGTTCTTCAATCCACGGAATCGGGCCAGACGTTCTCTAGCAAGCGCGTTGGGGTGCAATTCAATTTCATCGGGGAACTCCAAGTCCTCTTCGGCCTCAGTCTTGCGGCTGGCACGGTAGTCGGCCAGTTCCTGGGCCTCGTCCTCTGGGGAGGGGTCGAGGAACATCTCCGATTGTGGGTATTCAGTACCACCGCCCTCAGTCATAGCATCCTGGTGGTCTGGGAACACGCCATCCTCCGGTGCTCCAGCAGTATCCATCTCCATAGGCTCATCCTCATCCTCCATATCAGATCCGGAGTCTGAGACGTCTTCGAGATACCAGGCAGACTGGTAATTTGAGGTACCCTTGGGCAACTTCTTAGGTACAGGGGGAATGTGTGAGTCGTCGTCCGAGAAGTAATGGTAGTCATCCAGCAGAACACCCTTCTTCTCTGTCTCAGCCATGGAAAGCATGTCATCATCCGCCATTTCAATTTCTTCGGGAGCAATAGCAGCCATGTCATCCTGGTCCTCAGAAGGAGTATCCAAGACTTCTGGCTCATTGGCGTCAACGGCCATTGAATCATCCCGCTTGGGCTTTGTGGTTGCTAGCGGCGCAGCTGTGATCGAATCAATCTGGAAATCGCCCCATCCAGGGAGATGAACGATGCGGTCTGCCTTCAGACCCCGTCCACGAACAACTCCGGTGATGACGACATCGTCAACCACTTCCAGATTGGACTCCGGCCACTGAACGTTCTCGACAAACATCCAGCTGCGGTCGTCACGCCAGCGGATGCCCTTGGGAGTAGCAGTGCAGATAGAACGGATAGCGTTGGAAGATTCTTGTCTCGAGTCGAGAGACATAACCTTCTCAATAGAGGGGAAGAAGTGGTTGATAAAAGACTTTAACGAAGAAGCCACCTGGGGGCGCTTCTTAGGTGGCTCAATCTTATCGAGACCTTGCACGACAGTCACCACATTCGAGATACCCTGGCCTTGAATCGAGCGCAGCAGCATCTCGCCCTCCTCATCAACCTCAACTTCAGACGACATGACCAAGATGACAAAGTCGGCCATACGGCACACATCCAGAGCGCTCATCAAGTCATACTTGGCGGGGACGTACTGCACGCTCTGGCGGAATCGATCAATGCGCACGCGGGTAGGTCCATCGGGAGAGACATCAGTCAACACATCGACACTTTCGTTGATAGAAGCAATAGCGGCGGCGGCGTCAATATCGGCGGACAAAGGCACAATTGCAACCTGACGGGGAGCACCATTCTGGCCGGCGAAGATGCTGGTGGCTTGGGATCTTTCCTGGTGCTTCAACGCCTGTCTTTGGCGGGCGGTGTTACGGCGATCGAGTTTCGACTTGAGCTGTTGGTGGGGTGTTTTACGACCGCCCCGCTCATCACCTTCGATTTTCCCTAGATTGGTATAAATGTTAATATTATATTCTTTACCATACTTAGGCAGCTCAAAAATCATACCTTTGGCCTGATCCTTCAAGGCGCTCTTGGAGGCATGTTTGCTCTTGTAGGGCTTGTGGGAAACCTTGGTGGTGGAGCGGTGGTGGTGCACGGCAGGCGCCATATTGGCGTTGGAGCCTTTGAATCGGAAAGGGAGGGAGTCCAGATTGAAGCGAGTCAGAGGTAACTCGACAAATATTCAATCAGAGCAATTTATAACTGGTAACTACACAGAAACAAAAATGAAAGTGCCTCTGTAGAAAAAAAAAAGGTAACGATAAGAAATCAAAATTCGCCAGTGGAGGATAAGCGAGCGGTGAGCGCAAATCTTGGCGAAATTTTGGGCAAAACACTTTTTTTCTTTGAAGCTACGATTCTCGTCCGCCTTCTTATCTACCAGAGTTCTTTCGCAAACGAACTCGAGAAATTGCCAGAAAATGGCCGAGTCAGCCTCCAACATGGCTGTCGCCAAGGGCGACCACGAAGCCAAGATGAGACTTGCAGCAGCCGAGCAAACCTACGGCCGAGGCAAAGGTGCCAATGCGAAGAGTGCGCGAGACAAGAAGTTGCGCGCAAATCTCAAGAGACAGGAATTCAAGCACAAGGAGGCTATTCTTCAAGCCAAGGATGCAGAGATTTTGCTCGAACACACGGAAGGATTCCTCGAACCCGAAGGTGAACTCGAGCGGACATACAAAGTTCGCCAAGATGAGATTCGGGACAGCGTTGGAATCGAGACAGCAAAGAAGGGATTCGAATTGAAGCTTCCTGATATGGGCCCCTACCGTATGGACTACTCTCGGAACGGACGTGACCTGCTTCTGGCGGGACGGAAGGGACATGTTGCGACGATGGATTGGCGCGAGGGCAAACTGGGCTGCGAGTTACAATTGAACGAGACTGTGCGGGATGCCCGCTGGCTGCATAACAACCAGTTCTTCGCTGTGGCACAGAAGAAGCACACTTATATCTACGATCACCAGGGAACTGAGATTCATTGTCTGAGCAAGCACCTGGAACCGCTGTTCCTGGAATTCCTGCCATATCATTTCCTCCTCGCAAGCGCTGTGAGTATCTTTGATTATTCGATTACTGAGATTCCCCGCTAATCAGCCCTTCATATAGCAAATGAGCGGTCACCTCAAATACACAGATACCTCAACAGGCCAGACCGTTGCTGAGCTACCTACACGGTTGGGTAAACCCACCGCTCTCGCACAGAACCCATGGAATGCCATCCTCCATGTCGGACACCAAAATGGAGCCGTGACCCTTTGGTCTCCCAACTCCCAAACCCCTCTCGTAAAGGCACTCGTGCACCAGGGACCTGTCCGGTCACTGGCAATGGACCGCACAGGCCACTACATGGTCTCTACAGGCCAAGACCAAAAAATGAATGTGTGGGATATCCGCATGTACCGCGAGGTGCATTCATACTCATGCTACCAGCCCGGCGCATCTGTATCGATCAGTGACCGCGGCCTGACCGCAGTCGGCTGGGGCACTCAAATGAGCGTATGGCGTGGTCTTTTCGACGCCGCGCAAGCCGACCAAGGCAAAGTGCAGAGCCCATACATGGCATGGGGAGGAGACGGCCAGCGCATCGAGAACGTACGCTGGTGCCCGTACGAAGATATTCTCGGCGTAGGCCACGACCGAGGATTCGCCAGTGTCCTCGTTCCCGGCGCCGGTGAGCCCAACTTCGACTCACTCGAAGCCAACCCTTACGAGAACGTACGACAGCGCCAGGAGCACGAGGTCCACTCGCTGCTCACCAAGTTGCAGCCGGATATGATCTCGCTCGACCCCAACATCATTGGAAAGCTCGATACCATCAACGACAAGAAGTATCAGGAGCAGCGCAACCCGGACCAGAAGCCCGAGGACCACATGGAGAAGATCAAGAACCGCGGTCGTGGTCGCAACAGTGCTCTGCGCAAGTACCTCCGCAAGAAGGGTGGAAAGAATGTCATCGACGAGAAGCGTGTCAAGGCCGAGACGTTGCGCAAGGAGTATGCTGCTCGCACGAAGGACAAGCTCAAGCAGGAACGTCTGGATCTGGGGCCGGCTTTGTCCCGGTTCGCCAAATGAGATCACTGAGTTTGTTTCTTGCTTGTGTGATATCTACATCTTGTGGAGGAGTGGAGGAAGCAACCAACCCCCTCTACCCAAAACCACCCAGATACCCAGCCCACACGCGGCTTCTGTGACATATTGGAGATTTGGCGACAGCTGCATTCCAGGCGTTCTCGGGGAATATGTTTTGTATTCGGAGGGAAAAAGCAGTTAAAACGTGTGTACCATCTACTTTCAACACATTGAATATATTGAACTTCATAAAACATCACCCTCCAAAAGGGTCTCGAGTTATCCAATCTAAACCTACCACCTAGGCAAGATATCTACTCATCAACACTTCCAGACCCCCGAACAGCCCCATCCTTCCACCTCTGCAAACTAACATCATAAGCCCCACTCCCCTTCCAAGCACTAATAATCAAATTAACAATATGATCCATCCCCTTCCCATGCTTAACAACCGCAAAAACAGTCGGACCCCCCTCCCTCATCTTCGCCGCATCCCTCTCCATAACAGCAAGATCCGCCCCAACAGCCTCAGCAAGATCAATCTTGTTCACAACAAGCAGATCAGACCCGGTAATCCCAGGTCCACCCTTACGAGGAACCTTATCACCACCCGCAACGTCAATCACGTAGATGATGAAATCCGCCAGCTCGCGCGAGTAGTTCGCAGCAAGATTGTCGCCCCCGGACTCGATTAGCAGAAGGTCTGTCGAGAACTGTTTTTGCAGCTTTTGCAGGGCGAGGAGGTTTGCGCTGATGTCTTCGCGCACGGCGGCGTGGGGGCAGCCACCTGTTTCGATGGCGCGGATGCGGGATGGCGCGAGGGCTTTGTGGCGGGTTAGGAATTCGGCATCTTCTCTGTTTTTAGGAGGTTGGTTAGTATTGAGGTTGGAGATATGAATGAGGGTGTAAAAACTGTAGGTATGTATTGAGTCCTGTTGTTTTGGATGTGGGGTGCGTGGGGTATTTTCTCTTACCTTGTAAAGATATCATTCGTCACAGCGGCGATGTTATATTCGTCTCGAAGGGCGCGAGATAGCGCTAGCATCAAAGCTGTCTTTCCGGATCCCACGGGTCTATTCGGATCCAGATTCACGTTAATCCCTGGCTATGCATCTATAGGTGACGATTTGAAGGGAGATGCATTGGCACCAGGTGGGTGAAATAGAGGTTGATTGAAATGGAATAGAGAGTTCTATACATACCCACCAATACCAATAGTAAAGGCACGATCCTTCCAGTCTCGGCCTTCGATCAGAGGCATCTCGCGGTTGACGTAGGAGCCTGGGCCATCGAGGATATCGTGTGCGTGGCCATGGCCGTTGAAGGGGTCATCGTGAGAGTGGTTAATGCCAGCGTCGTGGGAGTGTGAGTGTGCCATTGTTAAGTCTCCAAGGTTGGTCGATGTGCCAAATTAGAGGATGTTTGGAGAAAAGTCCAGATGAGGGGCAGTTCGATACATTAGAAGGCCGGTGTGGGGAACTGATATGATAACAAATGCCGAGCTTCGATATTATCAATATTATCAATTCGCCGATGGAGTTCGCCGAGTTCGCCGCTCAGTTTGGATTTTAGAATATTTTTGTATAAATTGTGAGTTGGGAATTCATGGTTGGGATACCGAGAGATATGCAACGAAAGATGTCCAAAATGAGCAATGTTTTAGTAAGACCAACCACGCTGCATATGTTGCTATAGACCCCATACTTCGAACATACCTTAGTATACAACTACGATGCATCATGATGATTGGAAGGCAGGTATTTATGGATTCGTCAAGTAGCGGCAGAAAGAGGATAAGCCCCGAATGGGGAGGGATGTCAAGCCAAATGGAACATAGAACACCCTATGCACGCAGACGTAGTTCCCAAAGAAACGTAAGAGCCGGACGCCATATCATTCGCCAAACACGGATATCAATAGTTGTCTGTCCACTGAAGAAAAAAATGAACAGACTGCCAAGGAAAAAGCGAGCAATGGGCAAAAGCCTAAACAAAGACCAATCCAAAAGTCGTCAAATCCCAGACATGGATGGCAGAAAAGATCAAAATGAAAACCGAACGGAAAAGAAATAGAAAACATGCAAGGTCAGGCGATGATCCCGAGCCAACCAAGGAAACGCTGAAAGGAAGATAGAGTACATTAGGTCGGAGTTGAGCAGGATCGATGAGGCCTGACGCCACTTCCAAGTCAAGGAAAATGGGAGGGGGCCTCAAACACCGATTAAATCCCGTCGATTGTGAATTGAGTCGTCATGTGCCAAAAAGCAAGATAGATCTTTCAATGAGACGAAAGAACTAGATGAGGAGTAAACAAACAAGAGTGGGCGCGACATGCCTCGCCCAGGTATCCAGTCGTACGCCGGTTCCACGCCGCTTGAGACGGCGGGGAAAATTGAAAGCAAGGGAAAGCAAAATCAAACTCCCAACATGATTAGGCGGCGGCGCCCTTTTGTCGCTTCGGCACCCGAGGGCTAGCCTTTACTTTCGCTGAGCCCTGTTGCGGAGCGCCGTTAGCTTCGACTCCACCACCGTCCTCGGATTCCATTTTGACGGTGCTTGCCCGGCGACGTTTGTTGCCACCTACATTTGGACTGTTGTTCACGCCGGCCGGGGACGGCTGCATTGGTGGTTGCATTCCGGGAGGGCCGGCAAGATTACTTTGGGCTGGGCTCGCGTGTGCTGAACCAGTCAGATGAGGCGAGCCTTGCTGCCCGGGGAGACCAAGATGGGCCATGGCTGGCGAGGCAAACTGCGACGGAGCGCCCATGCTATGTCCCCGAACGTTTTGCATGGGCTGCATGCCAGGATTCATGGCTGGGTTCATGCCGGGGTGCATACCCGGATTCATGCCCGGACTCATGCCTGGGTGCATCGCCGGATTCATGCCCGGATTCATGGCTGGGTTCATAGCGGGGTTCATGCTCGGACTTATGCCTGGGTTCATGCTCGGACTCATGCCCGGACTCATACCTGGATTCATACCCTGAGGCATACCCTGATTCATGGCTGGGTTCATGGCTGGGTTCATGCCTGGATTCATTCCTGGATTCATGCCCTGGTTCATGGGCATGGGAGTTGGCACAAATCCTGGATTAGGATTTTGCGACTGGAGAGTGTTGACGAGATTCCGCAGCGCATCAGGAGGTGATAGCTGCGGATTTGCCTGCGAAAATTGGAACAACATTTGCATCGCAGAAATGGTTTCAGCCACTTCCATGAATCCCATGACTGGAGTAGGTACGCCGTTGGCAGTCACGTTGGAATCTGGCACTAATGATGGTGCTTGCTTAGGCTGAGCACGTTTTGAGTTCTTCGAGACCTTCGGACTTTGCTTTTGGGAATCCGCCTCCATGGCCAACAACAAAGACCGCGGAATGAACTCGTTGTGGCTGACGACATTAACATCCAGCATCTCAAGCTTGTTGTGCATATCGAAATGCGCGCGTAGAGTGCCGTTGGTAAAAAGCTAAAGAGATAGGCATTAGCAAGCTGAAAAGAAGAGGACCATGTGATATAAGGGATGTACCTGGCACTCATTCTTGAACCAATAAATGAATGAACATTTCGGGGCTTCCACGTAATGCCCTCCATTGTGAGATTCCCGCTCGCGTGCCCCTTCCACCACCATCTGAATTTGACTGATCCCACTAGTGAACTGAGTCAAATAATAACGTGCCAGTGCGGGAGTCCCGATTTCGAATTGTTTAGATCCAATCGTGTTGTTCCAAACACCCTGCCGCAACACACCTACAGGGGAGTAGAAACGATCGACGAACGATTGCCAGTACAGAAGATCCTGGGTTTCATTGCGCGGCTGGAAGTTTCCCAGATGCTCAGCGTAGGCATGAATGGTCAAAATGGCGTTATTCTTCCTTTGCTGTTGTTGTTGTTGCTGCATCATAAGAGCATTCTGGTGCTGTTGTGCTTTCAACTGAACCTCCTGGGCCGTCATCTGCTGATTCTGAGGACCCGGCTGCTGGCCCTGGGCACCCTGAGGAGGTTGAGGCTGCGGACCAGGCTGTCCCTGTTGACCGGGCTGTTGCGACTGCGGCAATTGCTGCGATGGAGGATTAGGAGTTGCCTGGCCTTGAGGCGGGCCCTGCGGTTGCGGAGGTTGCGAGGATGGCGGCTGAGAGGTCTGAGAGGGTTGTGGTGTGCCGCCTCCTGGTCCGCCATGCTGCGACTGCGGAGTGGCACTCTGTTCGTGCATATTCGGGGGCTGTGCTGATGCACGCTGTGGGGTATGTTGGCCTGATTGTCCATTATTTGCCTGTTGTTGAGCATGCTGAGCCTGCTGAGCCTGCTGAGCCTGTTGGGCCTGCTGGGCCTGCTGGATAGCGAAAAACTGCTGCTGCTGTTGAAGACTTGGCGGCTGGCCATGTGGCATTTGCTGCTGAAGGTGCATCATATTGACGGGTCGCATTCCAGGGTTCGCTTGCATTGCAGCCATTTGAGCAGCATTAAGACCTTGGGTACCATTAGGCATTGATACGGGGAGGCCCTGTTGTTGCTGTTGTTGTTGCTGTTGCTGCTGTTGCTGCTGTTGTTGCTGCTGCTGTTGTTGTTGCTGCTGATGCTGCTGGTGCTGCTGCTGTTGATGCTGCTGTTGGAGCATCATTCGTTGCCGCATTAATTGTTGTTGTTGGTGCTGGTGTAATAGATGGGGATTATTCGCGACTATATATTGATCAGGACGTAAGTATGTGATCGAGAAAAACGGCTGGAAGAGATTCAGGTATAGCGGGGGAAAGAAGTCACCGCAGAGGGCGCCGATCGCGTGTTCCATAACCTCAATCTCGCACACCAACGCGTTAAGCAATTATAAGGTTGAATACTAACAATTTTGTTGGAATTGGTTGTTCTGAAGCATATGCGCCTGCGCGGGATTCAGGTGGGAGAGGGCATGAGCATTTGGACCGGGACCACCAGGTCCACCAGGTCCAACTGTCCCAGCGCCCGGGGGCATGCCGCCCATCATCGGGCCCGGTTGGCTAACTTGGGGTCCTCCCGGCGCAGACACACCAGGATGCATTTGCTGTACCATTCCAGCGCCGGGGTGCCCATTTGGATGTTGCGCGGCCATTGGGTGGTTGGGGGGAAACCCATGTTGCGGCATGCCTTGGTGGGCAGGAAATGGCTGCGTCATCATCATTGCTGAGCGACGAAGTCACCACAAATGGGGGACTTCAAAATGACCGCTCGCGATGGCGAAAATGTGGGCGAAACGTGGCGTGGAGCGCGACTGGAACTGGAGTGGAAAGACAACAGGCCGCTTTTAGCGTTCGGGGATGGGCCAAGACGTAGCGAGCGACTTGAACCGGTATTCAGCAGACGCGAGGTGCTGAAGTATCGATCGGGGGCCTCTTGGCCAAGTCACTCACCCGCGCAATGAATCTCTTTTTTCCTTCTGAGAGAAATGGGTGGTCAGTGGGGAGTGATAAGAGGTGAAGATGTCGGGGATGAAGGGTAAGTGACGGGGCTAGGGGAGAGTGGAGGGGCTGGGCTCTCTCTCTCTCTCTCCAAACAGCCATATCCTAAAGAAACACAACTCACAAGTAGTTAGCTTTTCCCCTAAGGAATCTGAATATTAGGGGGCTAAAGGTATAACGCCCAAGTCAGGAATTAAGGATGATCGCCCGGTGGGAGAGAGAGAACTGGGGACGGAGGATCCGGGTCCGTAGGGTGGAGGATCTAACCGAGACGACAACGCGATTAATCCAAAGAGAAACAGGGATAGAGAGAAGGGGAAGGACTATAATGAAATAGGGAAATTGTATAGATCTTAAAGTATAAGCTCCATCTTTGATTTTGATTTTTTGCCCTTTTGGAGGCTTTTTTTCCCTTCTCTCTCCTCTCTCCTGCGCAAAGCCACGCTATTCCAAATTGGTAAGTCACGTGTACATTTGGCGGCTTTTTCTTCACAACTTTTTTTTTTTCTTCTCTTCTTCTTCATCTTTCCTCTTTGTCTTTCATTCTTCTTTCTAATAGTACGTGACTGGGCTCTTAGTAGTCACTCACACTCTTGACTATTTACTGCGGATTGCCCTCTTTTGAAGCCTGCAATCACTGTGAATTATATTTGCTTTCATGGTTTCATGTTCCTCAGGTTTCCGGAACTCTCTTGATGTTGATTGCACCTGACTCCTGAGGATAGCATGACCCAATGCCAATAGTACATGCACCTTACGATGCTTCAATCTCGCCACTAACCTGATAGAGATCAGGTGATTGTACCTTGTGCTTAACGTGAGTTATACTTCCTTCTGATTCCTGCATTTGCAATATCCGTTCAAAGATGAAAAAACACTTTACTTCTTTACCCTCCAAATCGACAATGCGGAGACAATACGGACCTTCCTTCCCGGTCGGTCTGCTACTTGCCAGTATATCTTGCTGAGAACTCATATATTGCAATGCATCTTTACCATGTTTTGTTTTGAACAATTGACTAATATTGTTCTCAGTTTAGTTCCAACCACAAACCACGATGCATAAAAGGATATCGCTCGTTTTAATGGCGAATTGATCAAGTGACGAAAAATTTTCGGATGTAAACTCACAGACCTGTTCTGAATGCGCAAAACCGTGTAGAGATTTCCGTTGCCTTCCTTCTGATGATCAATTCGCTATTACAACTGTGTGTTGTCTGGATATATAGTTGTGGAATACTGGAATGAATTTATATATATATCACACATCTCTCTTGTAGCTTATAGCCAATTCGTACCTGAAATATGCCTGATAAACCTAAACTAAGCCACATAACAAATCGGTGAAGTCTTGCAAAGTTTATCATGGCTGTCAACACTAGTAAACTATTTATTATGGGTGAACATCTTATTCCACACCCTAGTGTGCATACATTTCCCAGTCATTAGGTGGGCCCATCTCTTCAAACCAACGGTGAAATTATGCGGAGTACAGATTGAGCGCAGACCAAATATGTAAAGGCAGGTGAGTTTTTAGTCGCCTCAGCAGTTTCCATTTGTCAATCTAGCATAGTCTTGGTCTGTCAACCTTTCCCTAGGCTCCTTCTCTTTCTCCTGGAGCACTAGAAACGTAAGGTGGTCTTATCATGGGGTCTGGTACAGCGCACCAACCTATGCGGTTATGGTCCCATTCATCCTGCGAGGGTGTTACGACTCGGTGCACGGGATATTTGAAGTACTCCCCCGCTAGGAGCGTGAATGAGCACCCTAAAAGGACTGTGATAGGGTCAGGGAGAGCAGGTCGAACATACTACCGCTAACTATCATTTCTACGAGTCTGAAGTCTAGCGACAGGTTGATAGAACAACAGAGGCACCCATCATCAGTGCGGCTCCTTAGTTGAGGGCCAATATTGTCATGCATTTCGTGTGTTGGTTGGCCATACTTCATGTAGAGTAGGTTTCCTGGGCTGGCATATTTTAGTTGCGTAGTGTTGATCCAAAGATTGTACATAGAAAAGCCCTACATGCTTAGTTATTTACGCCTGTTGGTCAATATGTAAATAGGTCAATCCAGTTTGATGAAATATGGCTTATACACAATACAATGTATACGTCAATGCCGCTAGTGTGCGCCCCCTTCTTGGCTTCCTATAAACAGTCGCACGACAAAACAAATCTTCCAATTTCAGGCCATCCACGTCTTTCCTCAAGTTGGCCAAAGCCCTTGCGTACCGGCCCCTGGAGTTCTCCTCTTTTTTCGGCACATATTATACTGCCTTGGTGGCTATGCGTGGTCATAGTGAGGTGGCATAGGAAGATTGCGTAGTATTCAGAGGTTGGAGTAGGTTATACATGAAGTTCATACGTATACTCAATCCACTGACGTATCCATCTCGAATGGCTCTTACCATATTTGAATTAGCGGCCAAACCATCATCATCGCCGTACATATAATAACTTGGACCCGTCTACCGCCATCTTGTTCCCTTGCACACCTCTAGGTAGGCTATAGTTATGTTCCTGCGGTCTTACATCATAAACTTGATACAGCTCTATTATCATGCCATATGCATAAGGTGAATGTTTGAGGGTCCATGCTCTCGTAAGCTTTTGCTTCGAACGCAAACAGCAGACCTATATGTGACAACTCGATGTACATTACCACCTATATGTAGGTATGTATTACATAGTACTACTGGGTATCCTTACATTAATAGATGTGTACAGTACATTAATATGTACTTCTGCGAATTTCAGCTACATGATTCATGTATGGACGGATGTGCGATGTTGTTTTCAGACCCCGATAAGACATGAGTGCTTGAGATATAGGTATGTACTGAAAGGAAGGTGATGAAGGCTAAGAGGAATGCGGCAAGTGCGAATGCAAGTCGGCTCTATACTCCAGACAGAGGGGCTCGCATTTCGCACGTATGTTTGTGGCGCTGGATGGGACGCAGGCAAGGCATTTTATGGAAGGATATGGTGGTATCGTCAGGTGATGGCAGTAACTCAACTTGGATAGAACTTGGGGCATGGAGGCAAATCGGTGATTTGAATACAGATTCGGTCATCTCATAGGGTAGTGTCGGCATAGTTCGAAGCTGGCCTTAATCGTTTGATTGTAGTACTGGCGTAATCCATACTATAGGGTTGGATAGATTCATATTAGAGATGTCAAACTCGTTCGATCCCTTCATGTTTTGGTCAACTGAAGATTGACCAGAATAGAAGTACCTTTTGAGCCAACACAAAATATATTCTTTTTCCGTTAGTCGTGGTGGAGACGAAGCGGGTACTAGGATTCTCGACTGAAGAATGGATAGAGATGTGCACGTAAGCTTTTAAGAAGTTTGAGCTCAAAGTACCTTTTCTATATAGCACACGTAGTAAAGGTACTTGATAAGATACCAGGAACCTCAGGTTGCGGCGGCGAAGCAAGTAGAAAATATAAGATCACGTGACAAATCATTTCTCTTTCGTAGGGCCCGTTAGGGACCCTGCGCCACGCACGACTTGGTGCACATATCTACTACTCTCGGTGATATCACATAAAGCTCCGGTGACAGTGTCCCGGATGTATTCGTCAATTCAAAAAGTTCGGCTGTCGGTTGCACGCCCTTGTCGATTTGTTGCTCGCCGCCGCTATTCCGCACCGCTGTCCGCGCGACGATTCCATCTCTCACGAACATGGCTCGCGTCACCGTCCCAAGACCCTCACGATGCCGAGTCTACGACGCCAGGGAATGTTGTGGAAGACCCTTCCCTCAAAACTGAGAATATCTCCGACAATGGCACGCCGGCGACATCTCCCTCCCCCGAGTCGGTCAAGTCGATCACCAAAACCTACGGATCTGCCGTACGCAGAGCGATGCGAAACCGAAAGACCTCGCAGCAGACTTCACCATCAATGGCGACCGTCCCCGCGTGGTTCTACGAGCACAATAAGGTGTCTCACAGCAGCGAAGACCGCCCTATGCAATCACTACAACAGGTTCAGATAACCAAGTCACGGTCACAAAAGGAGCCGGAGGAGGTGCAAACCGAGAGTCAGGCTTCCGGGGGAGATCCCGACCCATCTGCGTCTAGTGAACCACCCACAGCACCGGAGAATCGGTATACGGTGGCCGAGGAATCATGGGAAGAGCTGCGGGCCTCCGCCAAAGCAGGGTTGCGGTTACCAGCTGCAAAATATGCCAAAGAGCCTTCGGTGAAGAAATCGCATCTGGTGCTGCACTATCCGGGTAGTGATGGAATACCATTCCTAGACGCGGTGGTGAAGAAGCTTGCCCATGAGTTGGGCACTGACCTGGTAACTCTTAATGCCCAGGACATTGCACAATTGTTCAGCGAGCAAGATCTCGCGGATGTCGGGGTAACTTCGCCCATTCGATCACTCGGCTATGATGTATACCGGCAATCCGTCCCAAGTTCATGGTCGGAACTCGAAGACCCCGAAGGTGACGGCGAGGATGATGTGACTGAAATTGCAGGTGGTCCCCGTGGCATGCGCGGCGATATTGGAACACCTAGGTTCATCACAATCGAGAGCAGCAAAGAGGCGGGTGATATCCCGCTTCCCAACTGGCTTGGGCTCAAAACCCTCCTGGGGGGATCGATCAATGGCCAAACGGATCCGGATCCCGGGGCCGGGGCCTCACGAAGTGGCCAGCGCGCTGAAACTCGGTGGATTCAACTTGTCAACGAGCTCCTGGGTTCATCAGGTCAACCAGCACTGCCAGTCCCCGTTGAAACAACAGAAATTACCGAAACGAAAGCCAGCAAGGCTTTGCCAACTCGAGACATTATTATGCATATCCAGGACTACCGTGACATTCAAAATACCCGAGAGGGTTCCAAATTCATTACACTCCTGCACAAAGTCATCCAAGATCGGAGAGCGGCAGGGTCCAAGATTCTGTTGATTGGAACTACCTCGCAGGAGATCCACCACTCGCCCTCACAAGATGGTGCTGGTCTGCTGCAAAATGTTCTCGATGATCAGTTCTCGAAGACCTTATTCATCACCCCTGCCATGAGCTCGAAAGACGCTGAAAAGGTCTTCGCAGAAGACCGAAAGAAGCGCACCATGGACATCAATATTCGCCACCTGCAGAGCATGCTTCGCTTCCGATTACATGAACAGGCTCTGCCTGTAAAAGATAACATCTTGAGCGACCGCGCTTGGCCGCTGGAACCTTCAACTATCAAAGAATCGGGAATCGAGGATCGGTACTGGTCGTACAATCAAGTGCATTGGATTTCTACCCTTACACTTGGCTGCGCTGAAGCCAACGAGCCCCTCTGCTTTGAGCACATCCGACGTGGACTCGAGCTCATGGATAAAGGCGACCGAGTCACCAATGAATGGCTGAAAGAGAAGTCACCCAAGCAGAAAGATTCGGAAGCAGGGCAGACCAGAGAGCAGCTGATCAGTTCTTTGCGCAAAACGTGCAACACACACGAGAAAAAGCTGCTTAACGGTGTAGTCGACGCAAAAAGCATCCGAACCACATTCAACGACGTGCATGTGCCTCCCGAGACCATCGACGCCCTGAAGACCCTGACTTCCCTCTCCCTCATCCGCCCTGAGGCATTTACATATGGTGTCCTCGCCACCGATAAGATCCCCGGCCTTCTCTTATATGGACCTCCAGGTACGGGTAAGACGCTCCTCGCCAAGGCCGTAGCCCGCGAGAGTGGAGCAACAGTCCTCGAAGTCAGCGGGTCTGAAGTGTACGACATGTACGTGGGCGAGGGCGAGAAGAACGTGAAAGCGATTTTTACCCTCGCCAAGAAGCTCAGCCCCTGCGTCGTCTTCATCGATGAAGCGGATGCCATCTTCTGCTCGCGCACCGGAGCCAGCAGCCGCACCTCCCACCGCGAACTGATCAACCAGTTCCTGCGCGAGTGGGACGGCATGAACGACCTCTCGGCATTCATCATGGTCGCCACAAACCGACCCTTCGATCTGGACGACGCTGTTCTCCGCCGTCTTCCTCGTCGCCTACTGGTCGACCTACCAACCGAGGAAGACCGCGAAGCAGTCTTGAAAATCCACCTGAAAGAAGAACAGCTCGAGCCCTCTGTCGACCTTGCTGAACTCGCCCGACGCACGCCATTGTATTCTGGTTCTGATTTGAAGAATTTGTCCGTGGCAGCTGCACTAGCTTGCGTTCGGGAGGAGAATGACGCAGCGGCCAAGCACACCGGTGACGAGCCTTATGCCTACCCGGAGCGTCGCATTTTGACTCGTACGCATTTCGAGCGCGGAATGGAAGAAATCAGCGCTTCGATTAGTGAGGATATGTCTTCGCTTTCCGCGATTCGGAAGTTCGACGAGCAGTACGGTGATCGGAAGGGTCGTCGCCAGAAGAGTCCTGGGTGGGGATTTATTCCTGGTGCTAGCGGTGATGCTTCGGCTGATTCGGCGCGTGTTCGGACGTGATTTTTTTGTTTCATGCGAGGTTTCTCGCTGGCTTGTATGCTGGGTTATTTTACGTGGATTGGGGGAAATTGGGAGTTTCCCTATGTACTTTTAGCGATATGATAGACCTGTACCATTACTGAAATGTATATACTGCCACCTGTTTCTTAGGCAATAAAAATTTGCATCATTTCTTATTCAGATGCTTTGAATCGGGTTACGTAGTGACTTTTGTCTGTTTTCTTCCACTTATCCCTGAAATGCTACACCCCAAATCTGCTTAGTTTGTGGATAGTACTTTCCTTTTCCTAGGATATTATTTATACCTTTATTCAATGTAGAATCACGCAAGGCGAGTGTCTGCGTGTACGTACATGTGAAGGATTTCAGATCTAGCCTTGTGCTAGACGTCTATATTGACTAGCTAGTACCTAACTAGCTATATCTGCCTAATGATATATTTCTAGCTGTAAACACAACGTATTTGAGTGCTTATTGTACACGGTCAGTTGGGGTTAATCAGTTGAAATATCCCATATCCTTTCCGGTTGGGGATTGCACAGTGAAGCAATGCTGATAGAGCCGCAGACAGAGGCATTTTATGTTACACATTCACTGGATTGTACATGATAAAGGCTTCTTTCTTTCTTTCTTTGAGATAGAGAATGTCAGAGGCAGCGTAAACAAACACATGGAATTCTTGTAGGATAGGAATATAAGGCGAGAAAAGTAGCCAATTGCTCTCCTTCCCCCCTCATTTTCCATCCACCATAATCGAGGATTCACTCCGCTCGCTCTATCTATTAGAACTGCATACATACTTCTGTTACAGGGTACTATTTACCAGACTCCAATATGTCGGTAAGTAGATCCGCTACAAGCACTGTATATAAGTGCTAACGCCTTGCTTTCTGCAGAATCGATCGAGGTAATTCTACATTCTCAACAAAATTATCCATGAAGAGCATATCAACTAACCGATATATACCAGTATACCCGTCGCAGAGGAATGCTTCTCTGCATTCAACCAGCTCCGATCCGGCCCAGAAGCTACCAGACCGAAGTTCATCATCTGCAAGATCTCCGACGACAACAAGAAGATTGTACTCGAGGAAGCATCCACAGAGAAAGATTGGGACCTCTTTCGCATGAAGCTGTATTCTGCAGTCGATAAAGATGGGGACCCGGCTCCTCGGTATGCCATCTACGACATGGAGTATGATCTTGGGAGCGAAGGGAAGCAGTAAGACATTACTCCAGTGACTTGTTGAGTGCAGTGGAATATTTTTTTCCCCGCTAATTCTAGTCGTTGGCTGTGTAGGACCACGACCGTTTTCATCGACTGGAGTCCTTCCTGCGTGCCTCTCAAGGTGATTTGTCTTTCCAACTCGTATGTCCATTGGCGTGGCTATGAAGTGCTGACAGTATTGTAGATGATCTCGCTATATCTTAACAATCGGGAGAAATTGACCATACCTTTCGATCTCAAAATATCAATTGATGCAGACTGCTTGATGGACCTCGAACGGGCGATTGTCGTGGAACAGGTCAGTGAGGATGTCCGTGGGCTGGGTACGAGGAAATGATCAGCGTTGCTCAAGCACCACGCATGAAGAGGGATTATTTCTTTACAAAGTAATATAAAGTAGGAACGGTGGGCTAGCCATTTGAGATGAAATATTGATTTTGAACTGGTCTTTAGATCCTGCTCAATTGAATTTCTTGTGCTTCCAGGGCAAATGTGAGATTGCATGATGCCACATCCAGACCTTCATCTTAACCAGCTTCCAAGGTTGGTATAGCGCGAGTCATTGGATGAATAGCACCACTAGATTGATAGCACCACTTGGCGTTGCGCCACTCCATGCGGTGGGCTGAATAGGTGAGGTCCCTTTTTTTCTTTTTTTTTTTCAATTGCCTTGAATCACTTTGTGTTACTGATTGTAGGATTATATATAAGATCAGAGTATAGAGCAAGCGACGAGTAATCCGGAAATATCCAAATCAAACTACAACATAGATAGATGAATGACGAATGAGATACATTGAAAAAAGAAAAATGTAATCAGGAAAGTTGAGGCTATCTCCGCATTCGGGCACGTGCCATATGACATGAGTCTGATCATCCCGCCACCTGACTTTACAAAAAGACTCAAGGGTTGTTTCTTTGCTTTTGCATTTCTCAATTTTGCTTTTTATTAGAGAGTGCACGGGTAAAAGAATTCGGGCAAGAAAATCTTGCTTCAAAGCTCCCCCACTTTCTCTCCCGAGCAACCCCCCACATCCACAGATCGCGAAAATGATGGCCACAGGGTCTAGGGATACCTCAGTTCGTGAGGCCAAAGTCTTCGTCAAGGAAGTCGTACGTAATGACTGGGATTTCGATGCCGGAGTTTCCTCCCCGTGTTCCGCCGACGGCGCCCTTTGCCACAACCGCGAAGTGTGCGAATGGCGAGTTCGAGAATTCGACACCCCAACCTCGGAACTTGAACCCCAGAGCTCAGATAGCGAGCAAGAATATGATCCGTCCGCCGTGCTGAAGCTCGCCCCGGGGGATGCGGGTATTGAGCGACGTCGCAAACGCCGTCGACAAATGGATGACGAAATGGCATGGAACGAAGGGCTACGCTTATGGATGGCCAGACGCGATGCGTGGTGTGGCGCGAAGACTCGGCGGCAGATTCGGGCGGAGGAGGAAAAGCGCAAGCTGGCTGGTGCACAGACGGATACAACAGACCAGTCCGATGGCGTGGAGCTGGGGGGAAATGACGCGACTTCGTCTGGTTCATCCCAATCTGCGATGCTGGCTGCTCGGGGCAGTGAGAGTATTGGCGCTTCTGATCTGGCGGTCCGGACCGACACTTCGCTTTCCATAGCGGATCGGGAGAAAAGCGAGGAGCTCCAGCAACGAGTGGATATGACTTCGGGACAACAAGATGATCAGGAGGAAGGATTGTCTACCGCACCAGACGAGGGAGCTAAACGGAAGGCTTCGTCAGAGACCAACATCACAGAGCCGGATCAGAAAGCTGCCGCAAACGGGCCTACTCAACTCACATCCTTACCGGCTGTCGAAGACCAAACAGAAGAGGAGAAGGTGGAAGAAGAGCTTGATGAACCACTGTGTCCCGTTGCCCCGCCTTTTATTTCAGACGAGAACCCAGTCCGCGCAACCATCAATCCCGCAATTTATCCTTCAATCTACACCAAGGTTATCGTGCAAGGCATGACCCCCACCGTCCCCGTCAACCTCGCTCATTTGACCAAAGCCATGGTTCAAGGGTGGAAATCAGACGGGCAGTGGCCGCCAAAGCCTGCCGTGACATCGATTGTCCTTGCCGATGATGCCTCTGTGCCCAAGAAAAATACAGATCGCTCCGCCGAGGAGGCGCCACAGGGCAGGAGAAAGAACAGCATTACCAATGCTGTGAAGAAAGTGTTCCATTTTGGATCGCACCCCTTCCATCGCCGCGGTAGCCAGGATATTGGGAATGGAGCCGGGGGCCCGACGGCTTAAGTGGATCCCTGCTATCTATCTTGTCGATCATAAGTAATTGCATGGCTATCAACCCTAGTGCGGGCCGGAATGACTTCAACTAGGTTAGGTTGCTCTGGCTTCATCGGGCGTCTACTCTGGGGGGTTCTATTTATGTTTTCTTGCGTGTTCATAATCTGAACATGCTGGTGTTTGATTTACTTTCTAGCTCTGCGCAATGAAGAAATGACATCTGACGTGTAATTTGGTTCAATCTTATACAGTAAGGAATTTCTGTTGGTTTCCTTCAATGTTCCTTTAATGTTGATAGCTTCTCTTTTTACATCTAGGTGCTTCTCGAGGTGTGTCAAACAGTCATTACCACAACCACAACACTGACATCGCCATCCCGGCAACTCCAACCTGCGGCGTGAACCTAGTCCAGAACCCCAACTTTTCCAACGCTACTCTAAGCCCATGGAAATCCAGTACCACTGGTAACGGCTGATATGCGTTCATGTCGGGCTATGACACCACCTACGCAATCCAGCTATATTCCAGTGCCAGCGGCTCCAGTACTTCCAAAATCATGCAGATATTTAATACCGTTGTCGGCAATACATACAAACTCTCAAAATTACTACAAGGTCCTGACAGGCAGAACTGCTAGCACCATGACGTGCACTTATGGTGAACGTTCTTACAGTGTCAGTTTGGGATCGTCGGTGAAGGATGCCTGGTTGGCAATCTCGATCAACTACGTTGCAACTTCGTCGTCCGTGACTCTGGTTTGTGGACTAACTTCCTCGCTATTGGCTTCCATTGCCCTAGCCGACTTTTCCTTTATGTGTGAATCTTTTCCTATCTATTTCATTTTCGCCCATACTCTTATGATCTTCTCATCAAGTGCGATTGCGCTGAACAAAATGATATAGCAAACCGCCAACCTACTGGCAATCCTACCAAGCTGGATGAATATCCAGATATTCGAGGCATTCAAGACCAGACCTGTATTGATTGGGAGAACACAGCGCTGTTGCAAGTTCCCGGGTCTATATCAAGTACCCCCCATCTGCAAGCCGGACTTCCCTTGAAAGTTCGAACCAATTAAATAACCATCCTCACTTTCAATTTATCACCCTGTACTATCTCCTCCTCCTTCGAAAGGAATTCCTCCATATCCCAAGTAACAGAAATATACCGCGCAGCCAACCACTCCCGCCTCGATTCCGTCAAAAACACAAGCGTATCCGCACAAAGTCTCGGCGTCTCCGTCAACACAACCTGCCTCTCGATAGGCAAACGCTTGCCCATATCCGTCAACACCCCACCAGGGTGCACAGCAAAAGTCAAAATACCGTCGGGTCCATGATCGACATCCAGAAACTCAGTCCAGCGCTGGAGCGCAAGCTTACTAGTCTGATACGCTGAGCCACCAGGAGAAAGAAGATGCGCCGCAATGCTACTGAGATTGACAATGATCTTCTCCCCTCCTTTCAATATCTGGGGTAGAAACGCCCGTGTCACGAGATACGGTCCACGGACATTCACATCCCAGGTCCGCCACCACTCTTCCGGGTCGCTTTCGGCGATCTTAGCTCGTTTCTCTAGATACCCCGCATTATTGATAAGGATGTCGAGACGTGGGAATGCCTCGTTGACTGTTGCAGCGGCCGCTGCGACGGATTTCTCTTCTGTCACGTCTAAGGACACGACTACTATTTGGGGAACTGGCTTCCCTGCTTCGGACGCTGCCTCGCTGAGTGATGTTGCGAGCCCGTCCAGATTGGATCTTGCACCAACTGCGATGCCGGCACACCCCGCACGACTGTAAGATAGCGCTGTTTCTCGGCCGATGCCTTTGGATGCTCCCGTGATGAAGATATACTTTGATGAGAGGTCTCGCTTGGTTGGGTCGATCGCGGGGTAAGTGTCATGATGAGAACGGGATGTGAAGTTGAATCCTATAACATAATGGAGATTAGGTTAGTTTGCGGTCTATTATTAGGTGAAGAGTTGGGAGAAAGTGCTGATCTATATATACCTGTATGGTCTGCTTTCGCCATGATTGCTAGTCTATACCTAAGAAATAATGAATGGGAATGTGGTAGGTTTTGTCTAGAGATAGGATGATGAAGACGTATATCTGAATTTCGTCATCCTATAAAATTATCACGACGTTTTAGTCCTATCTCAATGATTTCGGCGTCTTGGCGGGGCTCGTTTCGGGGTTATCGCGCTTTCGGACATTCAGCGGACGGAGTCCGAACAGCCTCACATATTATACATATTATAAGATAAAGTCCTTATATATAATAATATTGTGTTAATCAATAAAAGACATCTATAATTTATCGGGGTTTTTGGGCGCAGAAAAAACGCTTCTTGTTAAAGGGATATTGGATCTTTGTAAGTTACTGGAAATAAGCATCAACAAGGAAGAGTGAGTAGAAGACAGCGACTCGAAGCCTTATGTACGCAATATACCGATTATTGTAGCTTTCACGGCCTACATTCTACGTAGTTACAACACCATCTAAAAAATAGACATATAAAAAGAATATCTGAGAAGTCTCCGAAAAAGACTCCGAAAAAAGATATCCGGAAAGAAAACCACCGAAAAAGACGCCACGAGGCCGCAAAAGTGGCCGAATATTGTTGTGTATGTAAAAAGAAAGACTCGGAGAGGATCAATAATGGAACAAACATGCATTATGGGTATAGAAGTAGGCAATGCTACAAGGTCCTCTCGTTTTCATCCTCTCAACGGAACAGATCAATCCACGGAAGATCATCGGTGGGCAGGTCATACATATGAGTGACGAAATCTATCGCGCTATCATTAGGCGACATAAGCTGCACAGCAGCAGGCTTGTGGCTATTGTCCCGCGAATGTTTCCGAAGCCATCCGCTTGACCCTGCGCAGAGTAACCTTCGCGAACACTCAGCTCGGACTCAATGTCTTGAGAACGCCTATGGCAAGTGAGATGCGGTCGTCAAACCGGTCATGGGTGCCATACGAGCCGGTCAAACAGCATGCTGACAGCTGTACCAGGACGGCAAAACCAATGCCGCAGATGAAAAACGGCGTGTGTTTCTGCACCGGAATTTGCAAGGTAGCAAGGTTAATGATCTGCTTCGAGGCCACCAGGGCTTTGACACCGTGCATATCTCTGCTGTATACCGATAACAATTGTTGCTGCCGAATAACCTTGCTGGCACCGGGAATGGTTGCCACGAGATCGCTCCGCGGGAAATGAAGGTACATGATGCAGAACTGGATAAACATGGGTCCCTGGAAGAGCATCTCGTCCTCGCCATTACACATATCGGACTTGGCTGCATCCAGGTGGTGCGGCCATGCTGCGAGGGCGCTATCAATTATCTTGACATGGTCCTCATTCAGATCATGTGTTGTCCAGGCGATAGCGAGGACTCGCGCTAGAAGACGCACTACCCACGTTATCAATCAAGTAATTAGTTGCCAGGGAAAATTGCCAATGTATCTCAGTAGATCGACAAAGCAACCTTGGGTCAGGCAACGCTTCTGGGTATTACGAAGGATACCAACCTCACCAATGCCACATACAATAACCTGAACACAATCTTCTACACAGGTACGTTCATATGAAGAGATTTGATGCGAATTTAGTACACATTTCGCTAATAAAGCACCCAGGATACATTGTCGAACAGGCACCGGGACAATGCTTAATTCAACACTTCCCTTGAAGTAAATCCGTCAGTATTTCAATCTTCCTATGGGCAGTGATTGCATTTTGCCACGCCGCTGCAACAAATTACGCAGGCCTCATTCCTCTTCGCTTTTTCTTGGGCTTTGCCGATTCCGCATTGTTGCCTGCAATGGAAACCACCATGGGCATGTTCTTCACTCCACACGAACTGCACCATGTTCAACCCATGTTATGGATATCGTGTGTCGGCTCCAGCATTCCGGCAGCTTTCCTACGGTCTACTTTTCAGCAAATCCACCGTAAGCCCATAGAAATTCTTCATGATCACTAGCTTAACTTGATTTGTTTTTTTCCTTCCGAAAAATTCTAGAACAATCGAGTTCTGAGGTTTTAGAGTCGTCATCAATATTAACTTTCCAACACCAGAAGCTTGTTTCTATATACTAAGCCCTTTTTGTGCAAGGAGATAAAGTAAGCCACTAATGGTTCCTATTGGTCTTTTTCTACCCCCCTCCGTAAGAAGTCTGTCAATGACTTGTTAATGACTTCTTACTATACAAGAATACATCGAACTAACCACACTTTCTTCTACTTCCGCCTCTCACCATACAACATTAACCTGGTGTGATTAAATTGAGCTACCTAAATCTCATCCTCTTCCTCCTACTTCTTTATCTTCTTCTATCTAACATCCTACAGCGTTATCCTCGTGCGTACACATTGAGGTAGCCTATCTTTTCTTCTATTTCCGTTTTTCATACCGCAACGCTATCATTTGTATCAATTGAGCTGTCTAAAACTTGTTCTTCTACACAAAATCTTGCAGTCTTACATTCATTTGCTGTGACGTTGCTTACAAAACACAAAGCATACCTCAGAACTTTACTCGAAGTGAACGTTTTCAATCTTCTCCATCTCTTGCGATCTTACACGTTACGATGGCGGAATTCATCGATATTTTACAGCAAAGGGTCAACAAACTGGCCGAAAAGGTGGCCCAGTACACCAAGAACAAGCAGATCATGGAGGAGACTCATGCAATCGCAACCCTCGTCCGAACTGAAAGCCGGAAAAGAAAAAAACTTCCAAGCAAGGCGGTGACTGAATTAGAACCATCAAAGATACCCGATTTGTTTTTCCTAAAGGAGGGTGACCCTACTGATGATGAACTTCGACCGAAAGATCACGAAATGGTCCCTCTCCCAGGCCATCTTGGTATAGTCGAGTATCTATGCATTTTTGAGGTTATATATACTAACTCAAATAGAAATCGTTCTTGACGATTATGCACTTGCAACAGGCGGATCACCCGCCAATGAAGCCATGTTGAGATCTCGAATTGACGCCATCATGCTGTGCACACTTGCTATGATGAAACGTGAGTGCGTGTATAACCCACGTCTTTCCACTGGATCTATTCAATCTACCGACAGTATCAGGTCCCTACATCTTCAGTTTGAACGGAGTATCAAAACTCCATGGAAAGTCGAGGGCACAGAATATCTACTTTCCGGCGTTGTGGACTACTCGCTCTGGTTTGGAACGCCCCAGAACTACGAAACCAACCTCGTTATGGTGGAAGCCAAGAGAGTTGGGGCCCTAGATAGCGGAATGTTCCAATGCCTTGCATTTATGGGTAACTAATCTTGAGTTACACCTTACAAACACGGATAAATATGCTGAAACAAATACATAGCCATCATTCACCACGCGAGGAAGAAGGCAAATATGAAGAACACATCCGTCTACGGCATTGTTACGGATAGTTTCCGTTGGGATTTCATTCAAATCCGAGGGAACAGCGAGGTATGAAACTGAAAACTCACGAAAAATACTACTATGTTACTAATGAATTATCTAGTACATAACCCGCCGATATAGGTGGAAGTACCGCAAGGTTCAAATTGTCTCCCTTCTTTACAAAATTTTTGAAACCACGGCACATTCCTCCTCCATCCAACCCCAACCGCAGCGCAAGAGATGGAGAGAAGGTTCTGATACCGAATTCACGGCTGAGCTGGAGCAGCCGCGGAGGGGGTAAACTCCTTGTTCCCTTTTGCTTTTCCTTCTACCACATCTCTCCTACTCCAAACTTCTCATCAACCTTCCATCTCACATATGATATGTCACGACATTGATCGCCCACCCCGCAGCAAGTTGCATCTTAAAGACCTGCTAATCTCGCTTCCTTGACCCCGTACTCTGGTAACCATGCCGCGCGCGGGTACTGTGGACTTACAGTCCATTCCCTATTTTTACATAACTGAGCTTCACCTATGCAATTAGTTCCCAATTTCCACAGAGTTGAAATGTAGTCTCTATCAGCGGGGATAGTCCGGGGCACGGAGATCAAATGAGACACGGGATCTTCGATATAAAACATTCTCTAATGATAATACCCAGTACAACATAGGTGGACGTATCCAATGTAGTTTAGCTTATGTACTAGTCCTGTGAAACAATGCCCAAGACATACTTCATAACATCAGATGTTACTGCCTATCACCCCCAGTGATCAATCCAACATAAACATTGAAGTTATACTGAATACAGCTGTCCTTAACAGCCATACCCCCCCGGCCACTCAAAATCGTCTGTCCATCGCGAGTCACCTTGAAAGACTGGGCCCCAACCCCCATAGTCACATTCGAAGTAACAATCCCCGCCGGAACATCAATGCTAACAGGAGCATTATTCCCACTCTGCACAGTCAATGAAGCCGGACTCGTCAACATAGTCGCGACAAAAATACTATCACTGAGCATGTCGGCACCCATTGGTGCTGAAAGGTTATCACCAGTGCACACGACGCCCTTGGGCGTAGGTCGGTACCAGTACACGACTTCGTCTGCTTCCACGGTAGGGGCTTTTGCTCCGGATTTGTAGGCTGCAATATACGGCTTGAATAGGTTGCGCCAGGCGTCGTGCGGCATGTTTTCTGCCCACTGGGAAGAGCCGTCGTCACTGTGGTGGACTGAGTACGGGCCGATGTAGTGGGATTCGCCGTAATCTGTATAACTGCGGTTAGGAGGGAGTTTTCTGGAGAGTTTCCCGGGGATGTGATGTTAGCTTACCATTCCACGAGATAATCTCAATCAGGTCCGGCTGAAGCGAAAGCATTTGCTCCCAACGTAGTGTTGGCAAATTCTCGCAAACGAAAACCCAGTTTTTGGTGTTGAAGTGGGTTGAGAACCAGGGTGAGACGGCTATTATCAAGTCAGTTTGCTATTCAACGCAGAAACCACAACTATATTCAAGGGTTACTAACGAGCCATATAAGTTTTCCCCGCGAGGAAATGAACAAATCTATCATCCCAGACGGTAGTCATCGGCCCTGGGATGATGCTATTTCCCCCATCTGTAGGCCAAGCCAACCACGAGAATGCACCATCAGCGCTTTTAGCAGGGCCGGTGGTAGCCTCAGCCGGATCTTGGAGATTTGGCAATGCGTAAATTGGATGTGGCGTACCCTGCTTCACTGTATCCCAGTTGAAACTGTCTCCGACAAAGGTACTTACTACCGCGCCTCCCTTATATTGCATCTGCGCTGGGTGACCTGCATATAGTTTCATATACTCTGTAATCTTTGCGGAGTCTCCGTTGGTCCAATAGGCAAAGTCGAAGGAGATGAATACTTTGAAGTTGACTTGCTGGGCTGCATCGTAGGCTAGGGCTAGTTGGGTTGGGGTGTAGCTGTCTATGCTTGCGCAGTTTAGGGCGAATGCGTCGATGCCGATGGATTGGGCTGCGGTCATGTCTTCTTTCCAGTCTGATAGCTGGTATTCTTTTACTATACCAACCTAGATCCATGGAATCTATGTCAATGATGGAGGGTGGAAAGTAGTCAGGTGCTAGAGTGCTAACCATGAAGTGGGCGAAGACATATTTGTCCGACGCCTGACTAGTCAACTCTGAATTGGGAGTTGGGTCAGCTAAAGCTGGGAGGATATGTGCTAATAAGGTCACAGCACTGAAGAGAGATTTCCAAATCATAGTCGCTAAATTTATTGCTTAGTTTTCTCAATGATGTGCATTTCCGAGATTCCCTAATAGATTATATAGTTCTTCATCAACTATATTATACAATATTATACTTCCAAATCGTACTAAACCCGAAAATAAATAAAGCGAAACAAGTGAAATTCCAATAAAAACCTTGGATAATAACTTCAACGGCGGGTATAAAACTTGTTTCCTTCCCGCAGAATATTGTAACACCCGACATTCCATCATATCCACGTGAGATTGTGTAGTATTCGCGGATTTCCCGTGTGATTCCATTCTTTGCTTTTTTGCTTTTTGCTTCTGCAGCATATGGCATCGCCGGTCTGCTTAGTGCCCGTCTATCACGCTTTAGAGAGAGATTCAATGGGGGGTTGAAATGCTACAGTAGTGCTCAGTACCACAGGCACTATGCTAAAATCAGGCTTTATACGCCAGCTGATCGAGAAAATGAATGTGTTGGGCATATGAAAATGTTGGGTACAACTTGAATCGAGGATTAACACCGATATCGCTGTTCAAGGTACTTCTGACGGATAAGGGACCCCCTTACTTGAGGCCGTCTGCTCGTGGCCCATACGCATGATTGAGTTTCGAAATGACGAAATAAACAACCACGGGGGAAATTGTCTTCCGCAGAGTGTTATTAAACTCGCTATATTATCAGAACATGATAAACGGGCTTCGTCATTGTGCTTCATTGGGGTAGCATCCGGCTTCATTGGCGCTATAAAGCTGCGCCAATCACCGTCTTTCGAAGGGTTGGTTACTACTAGGAAGGAAGATTCTCCAATTTAAAGAGAATGAATTCCCTATAGCTTCTGACTGAGAAAATGGCGTGGTGAGGATGTTCATGTTGCATTTCTCTGGCGAATATTAAAAGGTAGGAGCCAGAAAGGATATTGCAGGATCTCTGGTATTGAAACTATGGACTCGAGAGAATGATATATAACAAGTTGGATCCGAGACACTGGTAGATCAAGAGTGATCTAGATCATTACAGTCAACAGAAATTCATCGTCATCGGAGATTACATTCCACGGAGATTGCATTCCATGGTGACCTGCATCTCCAGGCTTGCCGGGTATGCAGCCCTAATTGATTCGGGGCTGTTTGCACTGGACCCGTTGGCATAGATAACCCTTGCATAATCCATGACTCGGCCCTTGCTCAACATCCATTCTCACCCAAGTCACTAAGAATACATAGTCATTATTGTTAATCTATTAGAGATACAGTAAGGCGTACAGGTGCATTGAAACCCAAGGACGATAGCCTCCATTATAACAACATTGTCAATATGGCACAAGGTGACATTACGAATTCTTTTCTAACATTCGTGACACGTTAAAGTTTCTTCCAAGAACGCCGTGTATATAAAAACCGAAAGAAAAACCACCACACGATCAAGACAGTAACTCCAGAGCCTTCGCACGATCAACGAATCCTACCGCCGCATCTTCGAAAGTCTTTTGCGCTTCGCTGTGACTAGCCACCAGAACAGCAATCTCAGGCTCGATCGTGATTTCCTGTGACTCATGACCGGGGCGAATAAAGTAGTACTTCTCCTGATGATAAGACCACTTCCTGAGATAGATCTGGAGCTCACTCGATGCGATGTTGTTGGCCGTGCCGAATAGTTCGGTTTTCCTGCTATCAGAGGATGGCGGCATCGCAGGAAATGTGATATGGGCACTGCTAGAGGACAAATCTGCGTCTGAACCTATGCTTTGTAGACATTTGCTCACGGCTTTGGTGAGATCGCAGATCCACTCAATGTGCGGGAGAATGCCATCCCCAGCACCGGTGGTTCGGTCGATGTAATCTACTACTGGTAGTGCTGAGGAGATCATGTCCAAAAAGGCGGCAAGCATAAGTAAAGTTGGAGGACTTTGAAGACGATGGCGACGGGAGGCAACCACAGCCAGTGCTTGACAGGAGGCTCGGCATACGACATCGATGATATCAATGATAGAAGCCACGCAGGCTGAATCCAGAGTGTCTATATTATACAGGAGGTTCTTGAACTCCAGCGTGATGGTCTGGATGATAGGACGGCTGAGGATCCAGGCAGCGCGGTTGAGAAGCGTCGCTTCGAGATACGCTGGGAAAACACATTGCAAGAGCACGGCGCGGAGAGTGGGTTTGTCCTTGTCCCCAGCTTCGTAGGTATTTTTCATCGATGTGTGCAACTGGTCAACCAGGTAGCTCTGTTGGCCGTCGATGGCGGCGCGCTCGGAAATGCTCTGGACGAACCCGGTCAAGGTCTGGATCTCTTTGCTGGAAGATAACTTTGACTCATATCGTTTGAGTTTCGCAACAATGTAGCGTGGGTCTGTAGATGGCAAAGGGAACGAAGCCGGGTCCGTGAAGAAGGGGTCGATGGGTTTGATGTCGCTGGTATATTGCTGAAGGAAACCGATGACCCGTTGCACGAACTCGACGTATTCTCCTTGAGCAGCCTGCGCGGTTCCATTGCCTAGTTCTTGGTAGTTGTCTTTCATGGAAGTCATCACCCGCTGAAGTATCTCGCCGTACTCTTGTTTTGTTACAGAGAAGTTCCGGCTGCCAGAAATTTCCATGCCCTGCAGCTGCTCACGCATATTAGACGATAGGCTCGAGAGGAGAGATAGTCGCCGAGAGCCAATTTCCTCCAATGTGATTGTATACCGGCCAATTTTCTTATCCTTGGAGAACGGAAGATTGACGAGCAAGGGATCTCCGGAACTTCCGTTCAAAAGCGCCTCCGTGAGACGATGTTGAAACTTCAACATCGAGGAGCGCTCGACCAGCGATGACATCCACATACTCATAACTTGGATTCGGCAATCAGAAACAATCTGCGCGTCCTTTTCGATGCATGTCGCAAGAAACAGCGGTGCGAATTTTCTTGTCTGAACTGTTTGTCGAAGCCGCGTCCAGGAATCATCGCCGAACTCACTCAGATAATTGTCCCAATTTCGGAGGCCATGGCGAATGAGAACCTGCGCGATCGACGCCCAGCATTCTACCACGCTGAGAAGAATCGCATCTTCTGGACAGTGGTCCTCGCCAAAGCAGTTCGAAACGAGACGAGATACAATCGGATGGAAAGCCTTCTCCACATGTTCAATACCCTCGCTTGGAGAAGTTTGCTGGTTCCAAACAGCCTGAATGGCATCCCAGTCACCGAACTCCTGACTGTCCTCATCAGTATTCACTGCCGCAGGAGCATCTGGTGTGGATGTAGCTGGAACATCTTTCTGGATGTACGCAACCAGGACCTGCAGTGCCTCAGATACAACGACATTCACTCGCGGGAGCTTGGGGTTGAAAAGTGCAAGGATAGACTCGAAAGGGGTTCTCAAAACAAGCCTGTGTGCATGCTCCAATCTCGGAGCCAGTTGTACAGCAATCCGCAGCCCGCTAAGCGCATTGCTCAACAAGGTCTCTATCTGCCGCTGGTTCTGGGAGATAGTGCGTTCAACAAGTTGTTGAGAAACCCGATTGTCGCCTGTGTTTTGAGCCTCAATCTCTTTGCGAGCATATGAATGCTGTTGTTGCAGTTCCGTGACAAAATAGCCGTACCAATCTCCAAACGGATCGAGGCCCGAAACCTCTTCATCTGTAGAAAGCTTGAATCGAACAAGCCTTGACCATGAGCGCAAGTTTATGCTGCACGCTTCACGATGTGAAGTGGCAGGATGGACCAGGTTGCGTATAGTCTCTAGTCGAGGGCGACACCCATCAGGCACAGCCCAGTACAGGGTACTAAGAAGATCGTGGTGATTTCTTAGTGCGTCGAGATCTTCGTGCTGCAATGGCTGCTCTTTCGGGTATACACGGCCATGGTTTGGCAGAAGACGCCAGGCAAAATTTCGAATCTTTTTCTTGTCATATCTCTTGGCCAAGAAGCGGAGGCCACTTGCTACGATCTTGAGAAATGTGTGAAAGCACGGTTCCCCTACTCGGGCATCCAGAGAAGGATTGCTATCAAGTTCGTCAAGAAATGAAGGTGAGCCATGAGCTTCCTCGAGCTTCAGGTTGTGGAGGGTGTTCTTGGCGAAGAAGTCGAATAGCGTGTCCAGGATAGGTTTGCATTCCCTCCACCCCCAGGAATTGATAAGGCGATGACATCTGAGGAACAATGTTCGGCAGTAGCTGTTGTATGAAATGGGCTGGGCCTTGGAGTTGGGCTCAAAATTATCCAGAGCTGGGGCGAGAAGCCGTTTGGCTAATTTCCAATTGTCATTGGCGGCTGTCAACTGATAACCAGGGCGCGCAATCCCAATCGGATCTATTTCGTTGAGGGGCAAGACTGTAAAAATGCCATGCCATCCATCCTCCAACCTGCCCACGTCCCTTTCATTGCGAATAAGTCCATTGTTGAAAGTCTCGAGCTGAAGATCTTCAAAGCAGCCCTTGTAGTTGTCTGAGCTGCGTAGAAGATGTTTGGTAACAACATAAGCCTCTGCCGATGGATACTCATCGCGAATCCCCGACTCGCGGCGTTCAGGCTCGTTGTTTCCCTTGAACAACGCTTTAAACTCGGAGGAACCGACTTTGGACATAATCAAACCTGCAACGTCTTTGGCGGATATTTTGACAAGATCCAAAGCTTCAGTCGCAAGGGCAGGGCTGACGAGCAGATGAGAAGCAACTTGATGGATCTGGTTCAAGAAAACCATGTTGAAGCAAGCAACCTTGACAAGTCCACTCTTGTTGTATTCGTCGCTAGTCAGAAAGGCAGCCAACGGATCTCTCACCTGGGAGACCAACCCTATAGCTCTAGTGACAAACCCCGTACGGTCAACCGGGTCGATAAAAACCAGGTTTCTCGTGATGTACTTGATCAACAACCTGTATAACCGCGATGCTACCCCTAGAGCAGCTGTAATGCCAGTCTCTGGGGTGGTAACAGCACTTCGCTCAACATTATCGATTATGACATCAAAGACCTGCCCCATCTCCGATGATACTGTATCGTTCCAGCGACTCCATTTGAATGTCTCATTTCTGAGCTCGATGAAGAATGGAGGGGCATCCCCATCGAAATCCCGTTGTGCGATTCGCAACGAGCGAGTAAATTCCCCGCTTCCTATGAATGTACTCTCATGGAAGAATGTGTTGTCCCGTAGGGATGGTACTCCGAAGTCGACTGGATAGAAGCGTTGCCAATTAAAAAGCCCGCCGACGCCAAAAGACGAAGGACGGGCATGTCCAACGTTCGTTATGGTAAGAGGTTCCGAGTCATCAGAGACTATGGTAGCAGGATCTGGATTCTGAAGGAATTCGTCGGCATCAAGATTGATTCGGTTAGGGGGACGCTTCTTCAATCGCCGTCGAGATACAGGGCGTTTGGGGGCTGGTGCTTGGGTTCGTGCTTTAGCTGAGGCGGCAGCAGCGGCGGCGGCGGCGGCAACAGAAGCATTCATGGGGGAGTTGCCTCCATTACTCAATGATGCACTGTCGGAGACATATCGATCCAAGGTCAAGCTGGGCTTGTAAGGTTGAGAAGTGCGCTGGTTTTTATAGTGCCGGTTAAGAATAGACAATGACTGGTTGAACATGGCCGGAAGCACTTTTTGGCTTTTGCCATGACCAGCCAAACTAGTTGCTGCAGGCCGAATGGTGTTCCTCTTCAAAGATGTTATGGCAACGTTCCTAGGAATAACCCATGTGTGACCGTGCTGCTCTGGTTTTCGACGGAGCGAGGACTCGGCCACTGGGGCTTGGTTTGGTGGGGCTGATACTGCGCCAGATTCAGGCGATGCCTGTTCCGGTTCCACTATGTTGGTGTTTAAAACGTCGGCATCTGCCTCTGCGTCAAGGAATTGGTTCCGTATCCGGCCGATTTTGGAATTCGATGTAGTTCGAGCACTAAGAATCGAAAGATTTGTTATCCAATGCCGGTGTTGGGGAGCACTGGGACGAGGTGGGCTAATCTTGGCCTGCCGAATAGCTCCCCTTTTCCAATCTCGTAAGGACTCATTTGCATCCACTGTGTCCTCCCTTGAGGCCAGTTTCACGAACTTCTGAGTAGGGCTTTGCCTGCCTCCATCTTTACGCGAGCGTGGTCGTCTTGTCGCTACCCTAAGCAGTCGCGATTGCTCGGTTCGAGGCTTGGTGGCAACATCTGGCGCATCCAAGATTCCTATCCCTGGTCGCTGAGCGGTTGAGGGTTTCTTGGTCCTTCGTGCTCCATACGAGGCATCGGTCATTCGGGTTTGTCGAGGTCTCTTCGGCTGTCTCTCCCCATTGAGCAAACTTTGGTTCGATTTCGGCCTTTTCAAACTGTTTGTTTTGGGCCGTGAACCTGCTGAGTTACGCGGAACAGGCCCGAACATATAGTCGATACGATTATCCTCAGAGATATCACCCCCTTCCAGCGCGAAGGGGTCTTCGATGTCAATGGCCCCAGTTAACCTCTGGCTGGAGTCGTCGGCTATGAAAGCATTTCTTGTGGCATTATCGTGGTTGTCCTCATCGTCCGAGTCAGAATCTCCAAGATCAAACAAGCCTCTTGGTTGTTGCGTTGCTGGTTGCCTTGATCGATCACCCTTTCGAATGAGCTTCCGCGCAACACCTTTTCCATCTGGCCGTTGCGAAGAAGCATGGCGATCTAGTTGCGAGGCTTTTTCTTTATCTGCATTTTTCTTCTGATCCAGCCGAGCATGTGACGCGGGGAGCGCTCCTCGAATCATTCGTTGGAATCGTCGAATTTCACGTTCTTCGGCAGCTGACTTGGTTTCTTCTTGATCACTCTGGCCGTTGGACGAGATGGTCCGTACTTCCTCATCATCATCTGTACCCGCACCAGGTGATTGGACCTGGCCGGGTTCTTCTGTTTCCTGTGCCCCCGATTTCGCAACTTCTCCCGGCGGTGACCACCCACGAGGAAACCGAAACCCTCCTTCTGATGCACGAGGGGTCCTTGAGGTTGAAGATAAACGGCCTGCGTGTGGAGGGCTAGATGATAGGTCGTATATGGAGATACCGTTTTGATCCCCAGTAGCTGTAGCTGTATTGTTGTCTCTGATGCCACGAGGTTTGGACGGTTTGTGTAAATTTCGACGTCCTTTGGGAGTTCCAGAATGAGAAGTCTTCTGTCGCTTTGCCAGATGAGCTTGCGAGGGCCGAGGATGCTCTGAGTCGTTGCGTTCCGCAGCAGATTGTGGGCCACGATGCCGTTCATGTCTTATCGGCGGAAGATACTCTTCAAGAGGTGGACTTGACGGGGGTGCATCGGGGTCATATGAATCTTGCCCTTGACTTTCATCGGTAACCTGCTGTCTTTGCTGCGCAGGTCGACCAAAAGGCTTGACGCCCCGCGATTTTAGTTGCTGGTTAAACTTCATATATTCCAGATGGTATGGGTGCAGTTGGATGGCATTGCGCTTTCGGAATGTTCTTTGCGCAGCATGCGGCATTTCTTGCAACACTTCTTCGGGGATATTGAGATGGGGCAATGCATCGTCCGGGTTGGCACCTAGTTCAACGAGCACTGCGTCCCGAAGATCTGCCTCCCTATCTGCCGGTCTTTCTGGTTCTGCCTCCATCCCACCATCTGCCTGTTTTTCCGTAGAATCGTTGACCGCCGGAGAAGCCAAGGATGACGAAGGTACAGAAGATAATGGAGAATCATCATCCGAAACCTCCTGTAGTGGTGATGGTGGTGGTAATTGTGGCGCCTCTATTGGCTGGACATGCTGGGCCACGGGCTTTTTCTTCCGAGTTGGCTGAGGTATCAACATCAGCTCATCCGGCGAGGAGCTCCGGGTGCTTGATGCTTCATCAGGTGTGCTGGCTTTTGAGATCTGCGGCTCTGCCATAACTTCTGATTGTGAAGGTCTTTGGGTCTTCAAGGGTTTCGGCGTAGACTCGCGGCTCGAGGGCTTCGATTGAGGCCTGTAATGTTCCTGCGATGACGTTGGGAAATCGTATATGCTGGCTGTATTTTTCGCGGGGGCATTGGTATTATGTTTCTCGATGCTGCGGCGATTCGTTGATTTCGTAGCCGACGATCGAAGTCCGTAGGTCTTGCGTCCTCTTCTTTGTTTTGGTGTCGTTTCGTCATGCGCGGCATTTGTCAAGTGAGGACTTGCTCCATTCGTGTGTCGACGAGCCACCTCCTCTGTATCTGAGAGCGTGATGGAGCCATTTTCAGCCCGAACGTGCTCTTGTTGCTCGTTCGTTACACTCGTCGTCCCTTCCTTCGGCGAAGATGAAGGGTTGTCGATATATTCGAAATTTTCGACAGCAGGGCTATTTTCGAAATTACCGTTCTTCGAATCTAGAGAATCGAATCCATCTTCCTCGTCCGAGTCGGGGACATATCCTCGTTGTCGCCATGATTCCATTTGCATCCTTGGCGGGGATCCCCCATGTCTCTAAAAAGTCATTGGGTGGTTTTAGGGCGACAAAAAACACGAGCAAAATAATTCTCGGATTGAAATTCGCGAAACACAAGGAGATCAAATGTCGAACAACTATTCAAACTGTCTGAAAGCAGGGAATTTAATTCCGACGCGTGCCAACGGGGCAATTTAGCAGACGCGCCGGTTGCTAATCAGCCAACTGATAACCGATTTCCCGCATCATCTCCGCAACCTCCAACTGCAAATCTCGCCGTCTACCCCCAATTCCTCCGAAATGAGTCGCAATTTCTTCCCTGCCATATTCGCTATTGGCGTGGGTATCTTCACAGGTAAATCTACTCTACAGCAAGAATAGCTCATGTCTAGTATCAACCCCTAACCTCCAATTTTTCCATCTGCTGCAGGCTACTATACCTTCCAGCCAACATTCCAGCAACTTCAATATGAGAGACAACACGCCCAGAAGACCTCAGCTCCGTCTGATCCTACTGCTTTAAAGCAGGACACCAATGCTCCCACGAAATCCGAGACTCAGCAAGATCCCAAGTCGACGACTCGATGACAATGACCAGCCTTCCTCTTGAGGTGGCATTGTGAACACTGAATTTGCCCGAGTACCACCAAGCATGATTGTGCCAGTGGCCTGTTCTCTGCGCACTATGCTCTTAGAAGTCGCGCTCTTCCAGCTCTTCCCCGCGCTCCGAAGCTCCAGCGCACACGGTACCGTACGTCTCGTTGTGCCACACTTGTCAGGTCTTTATGACCGGCCCTGGAGGCCGTTGTATATATAGAATTGGCACAATGCCCAGTTCCGAAGTAGTTGTGGGTCGAAGTACTGAATGGTAACCTAGAACAGGCTAGCCCCGCGTACTTCTAGTGAGGGTTGCCGACTAATTGAATATAAAACCCAATTTTATCGGCATATCTATGTGTACCTAGAAACCTTTGAAACAGTCGATGTATTGCATGACATTTAAACCTTGACATTTGGAAGAGGCATGTTTTGAACGCCGTTCGCAGCACACGCAGAAAATCAACCCTAGTCCCTTGCAAATGATGTAGTCCGTTTCCCGATTACCTTAGTCGAAAATCCTTCCATAAGCGCCAATCCGTTGTAGTTTCCGCATGTAACATCAAACTTCTTCGACCATTTTTCCCGTGGGAACCGTAGGTGCGCCGAAGACACGCCCAGTAGGTGTACCCAGCCATTCTTCCGGCACAGCGACTCCACAGCCATTTTGACCGCTGATCCACCGCGCCATGGTAGGGTCGGCCTTCTCAGTCTCCACGCCTTCTTGGCCGGGGGTGCCATCAGTGGCTTCGGCCGCCGCAGCTCGACCACGCCGCTTGGGGGCCTGCTTCTTTAGCAGTCGATTAATTGTGTCCATCTGTTGTTCATGTTAACGGCCGTTCTCCAGTAGATGTTTAAGGTGACTTTTTGCGTGTACCTTTTCCTCTTCATTCCGCTTCTCACTCAAGTTCTTCCTTCGCCGCGCCATCTCTGCACGGCGCATCTGACGCTCCTCGGCGGTCAAATGCTTCTTGACTTGGGGCTCTATTTCTCATTTAGCTTCAATTTCGACAAATTGTTAACATGTGGTTTCTCACCCATGGGAAGTTGCAGGAAATCATTTCCCAGATTTCCTCGCTGACGCTTGGTGGTTTTGCCACTTTGCATAGCGAGGGCATCACTATCCATGTCGTCGTCTATTTCGTCCTCTTCATCAAGTTCATCAAGTTCATCAACGTTGACGTCTGGAACTGCACTTTCATCCTGATCTTCACCCTCGGCTTCGGCATCATCATCTGTATCGGAGATAGGCTCTTCATCTTCTTCTTCTTCCTCTTCGTCTTCTTCCATTTCCATCTCCTTGGCCTCCACACTCTTGGGCTGCTTGGCGCGAGACGGAGGAGTAATCTTACCGCGCCTGGTAGGCACCTGAGGCTGGATGTCATCCATATCGATGTCGCCATCAGCATCAGCATCAGCGTCAGCATCTTCGTCATCATCGTCATCACCAGGCGCATCTTCATCGTCGACTTCATCCTCTTCTTGGTCGTCGATTTCCTCTTCGTCGCTTGTAGCAACTTCTACGATCTTCTTTCGGTTCCGACTGGAGCGGGGTCCCGAGACAATGGGATCCTCCCGGAACACATTGACTGAGCGCCGTCCAGCAGAGCGGCCAGCACCCGTAGCTTCCCGCAATTTGCTGGAGGCCATTTTGACAGTAAGACGGAGAGATCTCTTTCGATCCCCTGAATTCAATGAAGATCGAGAGACCGAGACTAAGGCAGATGCAGAAGTCGAGGCACGAGTTTGTCTCGTAGACCTGATGGTCATGTTAGCTTCTGGTTCTGGGGTGTCATCTTGTGTCTTTCGCGATCGAAGGGATCGACGGAGAGACATGGTGGCGGCTTTATGGAGTGTGACAGAAGGCTTGGGGAAAATGAAAATCCAAAATCCAAAGCAGTAAAAAGAAGCGGGACACGGAAGGACGATAGGCAAGTGTGTGGCAGTATGAACTAAGCCATTAAGCCTTTTGAGGAGGGGGGGGGGGGGGGCCAGGCTGGAGAGAGATAGAGAGAAGAAAGGAAGGACACCCAATCACTTCATCCACGGAGTGCAAAACGGAGTTGCAAACCGGGAAGAAACAGATTGCTTTTCTATACGGGAATTTTCCAATGCGAACAAAGCGCACTGTTACAGGGGATCAGGCTTTTGGGAGATTGTTTCTCCTGGCTTTCTCTTGGGGGTCTTCGGGGTCTAACCCCGGGCTTTGGGCAGATAGGAAGGAACACAAAACAACAAGATCAACGGGGGAAGCTCCATACTCACAAGTACTTTTCTCTAAAGTTTCAGTTTCTCTCAGGTGTCCAGTCGCTGACGCCGGATGAACGAATGAAGTACTGCGCGGTCCATTCTGCCGGGCGGTATCGAGTATATACGGATGCCATTTGAACTATAAATGATCATTCAATATTCAATTGATCTATTCATATAGAATATAGAAATAATTAGTGTATAGGACTCTATAGCCTCCAATGGGATCCTAGAGTCAGGTGGTATGACTTCGTCTCACATACAGGCTATTTTCGGAGAACGATGCAGGGTATCTTTTGTTTTCTATTTGGACATTTGGCATAGATACATACATACCTAAAAACAAGTAAAATGCAATGTATACAATTTATATTTGGATTGTTCTTAAGCAATATCATATTATCAGTACAGAATACAATGTGAACACATGTGAGTGTTATGGCAAAATGTACGCCAATGTTGATGCCTCAGGTGTAGACCGGCGTTGAACAGCCGAGGTCGGGCTCACATGGCCCCAAGTCCGGGGAAGGTTCCCTCTCCTCTTTACGACACCCCCAACGCCTTCGCTTTCTCATATCTCTGGCGAATGTGCCAAACACCTCATTATGCCCGACGACACATCCAAATCAGCATCTATTCCCTCATGGCAGAGGTCCAATAAAACCGCCGAGGAGTCGCCATCGCCGAACCCCGACGATGCGCCCGCAACTACAGCCTCCACATCCCGACAAGCTCTCCTAGACCAAGCATCCAAATTCTTAGAAGACGAGTCAATCCGTGATGCACCAATAGAGCGCAAAGTCTCATTCCTCGAGTCCAAAGGCCTGAGCTCAGACGATATCGAGCACGTCCTTGGTGTCTCTCGCAATGGAGAGCCGAGCGGCAGCTCAACCACAGCCGAAAACAAGACACCGGAAGAGACACCTTCTACCTCACCCACTCAATCCGAAGCCACCCCTTCTCCTCCCACCACTTCACCACCACCCTCCAACACTATGCCTCGATCACACCCAGCACCAGCGCCAACCGCGGCCCCCCGCGATGTCCCCCCAATAATCACCTACCCCGAATTCCTCTTCGAGTCATCCAAGCCGCCACCCCTCGTGACAATGCGCAGCCTCCTGTATACACTATACGGAGCCGCAGGCCTAGGAGCAAGTCTCTACGGCGCAAGCGAGTACCTTGTGAAACCCATGCTAGCGAACCTAACGAGCGCAAGACACGAGCTCGCCAGCACAGCAGAAACAAACCTGCAAAAGCTAAACGAGAAGCTGGAGAAGACCGTATCCGTGATCCCGGCGGAGTTAACAGCACGCAAGAGCAAACCCTACAGCGACGAAGAAGACGACGACGCCTCGTCAATCACCTCGGATCCAACCGAGCTGTTCCACCGGGACGTCGCAACACAGACGAGTCCAGAGCCTACTACAGTGGTCAGCACCACTGGTGCCGTCAATTCGGCAGACCTGGCGGCCGTCTCTCCATCGACGGCGGTTAATAACCACATCAGTCGCGTTGAATCTATTACCTCGAAGCTGCGTGAGATCGTCGACTCGGAGAAGGATGCGGGTACGTTGGATGACTCGATGCGAACACGTCTCACGGAGTTGCATCATTATTGTGATGGGTTGATCTATAGTGGTCCTACGTACTCTACTGGGTCGGCGTATGGGGTCTGGAATTCTAATACCTCGGGCTCGAACGATAGCTCTGGTATGCGAAAGGCGGAAGATGAGGCTATTGCTGGATTTAGGGCTGATATTCGCGGTGTGAAGGGTGCGCTGTTGAGTGCACGTAACTTTCCTGCTAGTCGGGCTGGACGACTTGGTGGTCTTCCCGTCGGTGGACGGTGATCGGCTTGGGTCGTGGGGTTTTGCCGTGATTGTATGAATGTATATAGATTGCAACGGATTCTCTAGGTGGTTTTCCTACGTTTATATGGGTTTATATATTCATTTGTTTGGTCGCATCCGCTAAATCATAGCCTAGATCCTAGAGTATATATTTTCTTGGCCTGTAAAGTTAGCCCGTAAAGAAATCCATATCCTCATTTGATTCATGCCTATCTAGCAATCTAAAAATAAGAAGACATCATGCAGTAAACACTATCAACCACACCTAAGAAACGTTGGGGAAATTTCGCTTTGCTCATGATCAGACTTATACCCCCAGAGAAGAGGAACGGAAGAAAATACGCAAGACATTAATTATAAAAATGGACAAGGAAGATGAGAAAATTTAGAGCAACGCTGAAGTATAGAGAAAACAAGGCCAGAAATACATAAGTTATACCAAGCCTTTAGCATTCCCTCCACTTGACAAGATACAAGGGTGTCATTTACGGGGTAGCGCGGCTCATGCTAATCAGTCGCTTCACGCCGACCTGTGGTTGTACTTGTTAGTAACCATTCGAAATCATAGGACCGATGTTCACTCACCATCCAGTTGCCACATTCGTCAGTCCGGTTGGTCATGATCTCAACATGAATAGCGAGGGCGGCATTGTAGTCACGTTGCTGGAGAGCGCGGGCCAAGTTCGCCATGTCCTCGACGGTGTTGGGCTTGAGCAAGTCCTCGTTGTTGAGGTGATCAAAGAGGATGTTCAAGCGGCGCTCGGCATCATCAACCTGTGCCTTGAATGCCGCAGGGGCCCGGGTCTTGACGCGCTGCATGTCTGCCGATAGAATCTCGAAGACAGGCTGTGCGTTTGCAGGGATGTGTGAACGGTCACCGGGGGCTGTAATAAGGGTCAATTGGCTAGAATCAATCATTGCTAACAGGAATTACTCACGATACTTGGGAGCCGGAGGAGTTGGCTTCTGCGATTGGGCCGTGGGAGGTCGAGATCCTTGAGTCGGCGGCGGGATGCCCTGGGCCATAGGCGGAGGCTGTGTAGCAATAGGCGTGGTGGGCCCATATGGGTTTGCCGCGGGAGGTTGTGATACTGCTTGTGGGGCGTAAGGCGAGGCAGCCTGGGGAGGCGGAGCTACAGGACCACGAGTCTGTAGTTGCGGGTTTGCAGCCTGGGCAGCCGGGCTTGGTGCATACCGGTTGGTTGGGGGTGGCATGCTGGGAGGAGCGTTGTAGGGCGATGCTCCGCGAGGGATCGATGCCGGGGGAGCCATGGTTGACCCCTGAGTCAGCGGCGGTGACTGAGGGAGAGAAGCGTATGGATTGGCAGGGGGCGGCGGGGAAGACCCAGGGATGTTAGATCCAGCCTGGCCACCAGATAGCGGCGACATCATGCGCGGCGGCGGAGGCACCGAGCCCACCTTTGGTGGGGGAGGCACGGATGGTGCGCGCGGAGCACCAACGGGAGGAGGCCCCTGGGTCAGATTCGGTGACTGGTTGGGGAAAGGAGAGGGGATGGGTGCAGAGGCTGCGGCAGGAGTTCCACGGCGAGGTGTAGGAGCCTTAGCAAAGCCTTCTGGCAAATCATTCCACGCAGGCAGGCCAGTGGCCGTGGTGTATGTTGTGATTGTGTTGGCCGGCGACTGGTTAGATGACGCACGAGGAGGGGGAGGGACACCAGCACCTGTGGGCTGTTGTCCGCCAAATGCAGACGGTGGAGTATAACTGGTAGGTCTCATTCCCTGAGTTGGCTGATACCCAGCCGCCTGTCCGTAGGCAGCGTAGGGGTTGGCAGGCTGGGCTGGCGAGGTCGTCTGAGGGCCATATGGGTTAGCCTGCTGGGGAACAGCAGGCGCAGGAGGGGCATAAATGTTAGGAGTAGCAGCTGTTGGTGGAATAGCAGCAGCGTTGTAAGCTTTCGTTGGCTGGTAAAAATTGGGCTGTTGCGGGAGGGGCTTGAGGGTAGATTTGACTGCGCCAGCGGGCTGGGCGTTCTCAGGTACCTGTCTGGTAGCAAGCTTGATGCGGTTGCGCGCCACCTCAGCTTCAGGGTGCTTCTCGGGGACAAGGTCGAGGTACTTCTGAGCAATTTGCAGGCGTCCATGGGTAGCGACAACATCGGCATATTCAATGTACTTGTCGTACAAGACGCTCAAGCGCCAATCCGAATCCTTGCTCCGCTCCGTATCCTGGAACTTGGTGACTTGGCGGAAGATGGTGACCTTCTCGATCAGGCCCTGCAGAGCACGGACGTGGATAGAGAAGGAAGAGTTGTTAGTGTTGCTCTCAATTCCTTTCTGCTCATTCTCACGGAGCTCCTCAACCCAGATGGCAACAACCTTCTCAAGCTTCGAGCCTGCCAAGAAGCAGAAAGAAGCATCCTTGCGGGCGCTCTTATCGTCGCTGTTCTGGATCTCCTCCTCCAGGCGGTCACCAAGAGCATCGCAGAGATCAGGGAATTCCTTCTCGTCGGCAAAGGTACACAAGGCAGCCATAACTTCCTTCCAGTTGGACAAGTCGGCATTGTGGACCACATCCCACAGATTCTTGCCCACAATAGACGCGAGCAAGCGCATGTAGTTCGGACCGCCAGCCTGCTTAGAGAAGTAGTACTCCTGCGCCTTCTCGATGCACTTCGGGCCACCACAGATAGCAATCATGAAAGCATCGGACATCTTATCCTCCCGGAGGGCAACATCCAGAGCTTTCTCGAACTCTCCAAGGAGCAAAGCCCGAGTAATTTGTTGCTCTGCCTGGCTTTCCGAGCCATTGAAAATTTGGAATGGGTTGTTGGTTTGGGCACCCTTAGAAGCAGCCAGTTCGGAAAGGAAGCTGTCACCTTCGGGATTGGCATCGAACATGGATTGCAAACGCTTGTGCTTCTTAGCCCCAGCAGGTTTGGCGGGAGCGCCGTTGGTGCCCTCGCCTTCCTTCTTGTCCAACCCAAGCTGCGCGAGGCTATCGGCGGCCTCGTCAACCTGATCCTGGAATCCCAGATACTCCACCAACCCCTTACGTGGGTTTTCGGAGATCAAAGCCTGCATCACCTTCCAGTCGGCCTTTTCTGCTTCATTGGAAGCACTTGAAGCGCGTGACTCACAGAGATTACTGATGTCACCCTCTTTCAATGCAGTCTCAAAGCTCTCGGTAGCATTGCCAACACTCTCATCAACCTCGAACGGTGTGATTTTGATACTGGATGTACGAGACCCCTTCTCAGTCAGACCGAAGGAAACGACCCGACCTCCGAAACCAAAAGTAGCACCACAGCGTCGCTCAAGCCAGCGAGGGGCCTTCGGGAGGGAGAACTTGGAGACTTGGGGCTGCGTTTGCGCCTTGTTGAAGAAGTCTTCGCCGTCCAGAGCTTGGTTGTGATCGGCGATGGCCTGAGCATTATCGGTCTTCGTGTTCTGCAGGGTCTGGACACAGATCTTTCCATCAAACGACGCGGTTGCGAAGAAATTCGGGTTGTGCGGGTTCCAGCGGGTTTGGAAGGTCCAGTTCGTGACAACGGGGAACTCTCCGTATGCTTGGCCCGTTTGCGGGTTCCAACAGATGTTACGGTTATCTTTGCCGGAAGACAAGAGGAGATCTGGATCATGCTCGCACCAAGAAAGTGAGAGCACGCCGGACTCGTGGCCGGTGAGTGTCTATACAAATCACATCAGTATTGAATCACACCAGGGCTCTGAAATGGTAACCTACCCGCTCCGGGGCGTGGGAGTTGCGCAGGTCCCAGACATATAGCACTGGGTCTGAGTCGAGAGGAGACGATGTAATAAGCTTTGTGGGCTAGACATAAAAATGGTTAGCAATCCTGAAATAACCATGTAGGAGATGCCAACATACCCTCTCGGGGTCCCACGCGACTGCGCTCACAGCCTTCCGGGACTTGTTGTTCAATGTCAGACTCTCCTTTTTCGTCTTGACATCCCAAACCGTCACAAAGCCAGAGCTGCTACCAGTGACCAGAATGTGAGGAACCTTTCTGTTCCAATCCAAGCAGTCGATATCATCTGTGCGGGCCGCATTGTTGCCCAACCGGAATGGGTTCTCGATGTTGTTTAGATCCCAAATGAACAGCTATCCAGTAATTAGCCACATATTCAATCCGTAATCCGCGAATAGCAGCCTACCTCTCCCTTTGCGCCACCGGTTGCCAGAAGGTTCGGGTGTTTGGGGTTGAACTGAAGGGTCTTGATGGCGCCGCTGTGTTTAGTGGTTCTTGAGATCAATGCATCACTGAAATTGAATGATCAGCAAGATATTCCGGGGAGGTAGTTTATATGTAGAGTTCAACCAACCTAGATCCAGCCAGTAGCTTATCAGCATCCCACAACTCCAGCGAGCCATTCTCCAAGCCACCCGCAATCACACCCCGTTTATTGTCTTCGGACGTTGTCCAGGCCACATCATTGAAGCTAGTTGAATTATTCAGTCAGCATGCTTATCTTCATTCAAGTTCACAAAAGACCAACTTACCCAGAGTCAGTATCGACCTTAGCTAGCGGCTGCAACTCCTCGCTCGCATCTTCGCGGTCAAGGCCAAGATCCCACAGCTCGAGGCATGTCTTGTTAGAGAAGTCGACATCGACAGCGCCAGCGCGAGTTCCAGTTGCGATCAATGGCGACGCAGCGCCAGGCGACCAGGCGAACGTGGCCGTCCTTGGGATTTCCCTTAGACGCACCATGATGATGGCAGAGGAGGTATGGTTTGGTGAGGATCGAGACCAATAGTTTGTGTGAAAGGTATCATCCAACGAACAATGAAACTCAAGCAATAGGGAAGCAGAGGAATCAAGAACCACCCCCTATGAATAATTGAGCAATGGGGTGATACTCTAGATGTTCCAAGTATAGCAGTAACCAAGTGGCCTCCTGGACTTGGAGGGACCGGGGAACGTGCGCTAGACCGCTTTGAGACTCGCCAAAACACTCCGAGGTGAACTGCACGTGATATCAATCTTCCGTTCTGGGCTGATAGCAGGATACAGCTGGGATTCAGAGTCTCGAACACAAAAGCTTTCTTTGTTGCTGTACACACTTTTATCCTCGCTTATTCTACTATTCTGTGCGATCTCGCCACATCGCCACCCAATTCAAAGACCTAGCGAATTTGGCCCGAAGCGCAACTACACATCATGAGCGAAACCACGCGACTTAAGAGCACCGTCTACGTGGGTGGTCTTGACCAGGGAGTGACCGCGCACACACTTGCGGAAGCTTTCGTTCCATTCGGTGAAGTCGTTGATATCTCGCTGCCCAAACCGGACCAACCCAACTCGGCTGAAGTTCACCGCGGATTTGGATATGTGGAATTTGACCTGCCGCAAGATGCCAAAGAGGCTATCGACAATATGGATGGTAGCGAGATCTACGGGCGCACCATTAAAGTTGCCGCTGCAAAGCCACAGAAGGATGCCAATGAGGGACTAGGCAGCAAGACTGCGATCTGGGAACAGGTGCGTTGGGTTCAATTTTATATCTGATCGCAATCTATACTAACCGCTATATTCTATAGGAGGGTTATTTGGCCAAGCATGCTGTCAGTGAGGAGGATCGGGAAGCGGCGGAGGAAGCTCAGGCTGCAAGCAGTCGTCCCCAAGATCCTATGCAGGGATTGGAACAATTGGATGTTGCTGGGCCGAAGCCCGAGTGAAGCACGCTACACTTTACGATAGCTACGACGCAGATGACAAACAAAAGCACAAGTCTCACACGACAGTACAATTTCCCAATTACACCACAGGATTCAGGCTCGGGAAGCCGGAATATGTACACGGGCGCAATCTCGAACCCGTTCCTTTTTTGCTCCACTGGTTTTTCTCAAATCATGCCCATCGGCTTCAAATTCTCCTAATCAACAATACAAGCGGCAGAGATCCAAAACTGCAGATCGCATTCTGAGAGCTCAAAGAAACATGGTGGTACATTTAGTGCTCACGGCTCTCGGGGCTGTTGCGGTAGAGACGCAGGGTCTTGTCGGTCATCAGCTTCTTGCTGCAAGAGTAGACAGCGGCGCCAATGGCAACACTAAAATCAATATAAGTTAGCATCAGGGAGATATATGAGCTTGACTGCTAGTGAAGGGAGATAGGGGGATGAAATTCCGGCATGTGTCGGGCATGTGTTCCCGGAATCATGCGGCAGATAGTATCAAACAGGGTAGAAACGTACGCAAGGACGAAGCCTAAATATCAAACAGACCATTAGCTCAACTTCCGATCGCGAAGTCTTGACTAGCACATACCGATAGGGAGCAACTCGGGGGGCACACGCTTGAGCTGGCGCAGACGCTGGGAGATAGTGTGAGCTGTAGGCGCATGGTTAGTTCAATGGCAGTCCCTATAAAAGTAGAGCCAATTTTATATGACTCTGTTGATCAACCAGATCTAGTGATCTTAGAGACTCATACCACTTTGTTGCTCCTTCTACAGACATGAGTTAGTAACCGAGAGATCGTATGATCACAAGACCATTGCCGAAGGAAAGAACATACAGGAGTAGGGAAAGCAAAGGCCCGAGTGGGCTGCATCCGCAGCATGCGAGTGGGATACATGTTGAGATCTGTGGTTCAACCCTGGAGTAACAGAAGAAGAGTGGGATAGAGGACGAGGTTGGAACACCAGCTTTCCGAGAACGTGACTGGCTCGGGTGTAAAAGCGAGACGCTCAGTGGCTCTCGCTTGACCGCCCGCGGTCATATCCGGCACTTCACAGCTTCAATCACCCAACGTCGCTCTTCCCGGCTCACTTTCTCCCCTCCTCTCTTTTCACTCCACTCCAATTCCTCCTCTCGTGTGTTGTTTCTCTTGAAGCTACACATCGCAAATATGGGTGCCATTCCGGAAGCCGACCCCGATGAGGTCCTCGAGACAAAGCCCTTCAAGTTCGTTACTGGTAAGTCCACTAACCCCCTCCCGAGAAAACCGGGGCCAGGAGCCCTATAGAGAGTCAATGGCTAATTCAAGCTAATTTATTTACAGCTGGTACGTGAACCTTGATATTTTCCCGCTTGTTTCGCTCGTCGCATGCGCGTGGACCGATTTCCTCCGATCGGCTGATGTATGGTGTAATTGACAATTTTCGATTGGATCGCAGGCTACGATGCCCGTTTCCCCCAGCAGAACCAGTACGTGATAAGCTGTTATCTTGGTGTCCTTTTTATATTTATCTAACGTTAATTTGCTCCACAGGACCAAGCACTGCTGGCAGAACTATGTCGACTACTACAAGTGTACCACTGCCAAGGGCGAGGACTTCCGTCCCTGCAAGCAGGTAATTGCGACACTCAACAATATTCTGGAATCCCACTGGCTTCTAACACCTTCTCTCGCAGTTCTACCACTCTTTCCGCTCTCTTTGCCCCAAGGCCTGGACCGATCGTTGGGACGGTCAGCGTGGTACGCATCTACAAGCATCCTCTACATATGTGTTTACTTATACTAACATGCGTTTACAGAGGCTGGCAACTTCCCTGTCCACCTTGACAAATAGATAACCAACAGCGTTTTTTGGTTGGTCAAGTGAGCCGTGTCAAATTTTATTGTATCGACAAGTTCCAATGTACTCTACTGGGTCACGCGAGGACACAACCCCTTCATTTCCTAAGTCGCCCTGTCCATATAAGGCAATAAAGGGTGCTTTTAAACGCGTCGTATTGTAAAGAGAAATGCATTGTTAGCTGGTGCTTGTTCTGACTTTTTTGAAGCATGGGTACCCAGGTAGTCCCCTATATCCTTCATGGGTAGACGCTTGCAATAATTGCGAACCATGTCTTGGAAAGACAACTTATCATGTTGAGCACATATGTAGAAACCATGTCGTCCTTGCGGAAATGTCCTGAATGCGATTCAGTGTGTATGTATCTAATTCTATGTAATCCCAGCTCTGACAAGAAAAATACATAATCCAGCACACTGTACAAGACCATAGGGCCATGTTCTAGATATGCTCCACGGCCGTCTCCGACCATCCTTCGAATCTCCGATGAAAGAAATATCTGAAAGAATGCAAGCTATATACAAGCCAAAATGAAAATGGTGCGCGTGAGTGTCGAAGCGCACAACCCAAGTAAAAAAAAAACCCCCCAGAGAAAATGACAAGAAATCGTATATACTGAGAATATGTCGGGTAGAAGGCGTAAATGCTGTTGTAAGATTGGGAGTAGGCGCAAAAAAAAAAGTCACAAAAAGGAGTGATCACTCTTTGTGTCTTTAGATACCCTTCAGCTTGCGGTATAACTTTTTGTGCTCCTCAAGGAAGAGGAAAGTGGCAATGGTATGGGGACCAAGACGGATAAAGCTAGGCACCCAGCCACGGAAAGTCCATCCCAGGCCTTCCTTGCGGCAGATATCACGCAGAAGACCAACGATAGTATGACCACCGCCCTCGGCATGCGAAGCCGTCATAATACGGGTCTTGATCACGTCCACGGGGCTGCAGACAGTAGTAGCAACGAAACCCGCCATGAACGAGGCCGTGAAGTGTGTGCCCAGATTATCAGCCATGCCGGCCTTCTCAATACACATGCGCTTAAAGGTATCGTAGGAAGCGAGCTGCGAGGCAGTCATGAGGATTGCGCGGGTGGAGTTAGGCCACACTCCGCGGAAGAGAGAACTGAATCCCTCTGTCCGGGTCATCTGGACGAGTCCGTGGATTGCGTTTCGATAGTTACGTCGCTGGGCGGGAGGGAGAGATGCGTCGTGTTGCATGCGGACGTTCATCACGTCAGCTGGGTTTCCTGCTATGCCACCGATGAATCCAGAGGCAGAGGCAATGCCGATGAGAGTGACCATGCTTGGTGCGCCGGCGGGGTTTGAGGTGGGCGAGGCAATGCGCGACTTCAATTCTTCGTAGATACCGAAGCGCGTTGTAGAGTATGTGATTTGACGTAGCATGGCGGCTGACAACTGTACCATATCCAATCCGTCCTTTGTTAGCCAACTTGTGCCCTTTTACTTTAATAGCCATGGGGCATTCGCTATCGAGTGGATAGTGGATTTTGGGATTGCACATACACCACTGTATAACCCGGTGACACCATTATTCTTCACGATGTGTACAAACGTTCCGACCATAGTCTTCGGCGCATCAAGCGCACGAGTCTGTAACCGGACCTATTATGCGACGAACAGATATCAGCGTCGGGGCTCGGTAAGTTTCGGACGGTTAGGAGCTTGCAATTACCTTAACTGTGGGCGCAAAGTCAGCATATAGTATATAATTGAGGGAAGATATAAGAACATACCTAAATCTAACGGGTGCGTCACAGATGCAGCGAAGCATGAGGCCGAACCCCCAAACCAAAACGGGTAATGCACCTGCTTCGGCTTTGACTGGGGCGTCTGAACGGGCACGACCCGGGAGTGAGGAGAACCCTCCAACATCTTACCACTGTCTGCCATCTTGCTGGATAACAAGACCCCTCAAATATACACAGTTAAAAAAAGGCGGGGAGAATGATTCACAAAATGGCTTTTTTTTTTACTGGACTTTTCTCGGCTTTTACGAACGTGACTTGACGTAATTTTGGCCCTTTAAATACCGACGGAGACAAATCAGATCTCCGAAATCACTCGGCCAGCCGCCGAACGGAGAGAAGCAGCCAATCATGTCAATTTTCTTGATGGGGGGTTCACCATTTTCTTCCAATCAGATCCTCGGTTTTGCGATCTCTCTTGTATGGAACATACAACCCTGGCCTAGAAACCCCTCAGGAACCCTGAGCGATCTGCTTCGGTCGTTGAAATAGATGCCGAGGGCATCCTTACGCCTAAAGTTATAATAATTACTTCAATAGAGCTAATATGATAAGATCGGCTATGCGGATCTTCGGGGTTTTTACGGGTATTGGGCGGTTGGCATCGGACTACCGAGGGCTGCAGGAGGGGCAAGATATCATATGCATAAAGGCTATCTGGGGAGTAACGATAGTTAGGAGTGATGTAATCGGGGTATAACAGGTATAAAATATCCTAATGACGGAATTAGGGCTACTCTGTTTCAACATATTGTTTTGCAGCTGCTTTCTCGGCGCAAATAGGATAGTATTTGTATTCAGGCGATGTTGCACATGAAATTTGAAAAGTAAAAGGCCGAAACAAGAAGCAATATCAGCTTTTGTTCTGAGCCAAGTATGCATACTAAAAGAGATATATATTTTATAGAGTGATACAAACTGCAAAGTACACAGAACGTTTAATCTATACATGTGAAAGTTGAAATGGCTTGAGCTGCCAGCTGTAGCAACCACAGAGAAAATTAAACATATTTAAATCATAAGTCTCTCTCTTCTAGAAAGAGATAAATGCTAAAGCTGTTTCTATATTTTTTTGTGGTGTGTATGTACCTCGGGGACTAATTTCCCCGATCCGAACATGTGTTGATAGCGTTGGTAGACAACATTGAATTCTCACAATGTCCAACCCAACCATGAGGCTATTCGCTACCGGTCGAGCCCTGCGTGCAAGCAGTGGCCGTTGGTCAATTGCCTCAATCAGACCCCAAACCGCCATTCCGCGCTCCCTCCAACTGACTCCCATCTTCTCTCGCAACCGCGAATGGAGCTCAACCACAGCTCGCTGGAGTGAACAAAAAGCACCCACTACCCTCCCAAACCCTCAGCAACAATCGACCCTCAAACTCGAAGGAGATACGTACCCAACCGACCAGTGGACCAACACCCCCGATACGATCCTATCCCATATCGGACGACGACTCTACCTCGACGACAACCACCCTCTCGCCATTACACGCAAACTCATCGAAAGCCAATTTCCATCCCCGAGCTTTGGAAACTACTCAGAGAAGAACCCCGTCGTCTCAACAAGAAACAATTTCGATGTCCTCGGCTTCCCCGCGGATCACCCGGGCCGCAGCCGCACAGATACCTACTACGTGAACGACAAGACAGTGCTGCGCACCCACACAAGCGCCCACCAGCAAGCGTATTTCCAGCAAATCGCCCGCAATGAACACACCCGTCCAGAGGAGACTGGATACACCGTGATCGCTGACGTCTACCGTCGCGACGCAATCGACCGCAGCCACTACCCCGTTTTCCACCAGATGGAGGGTGCGATGCTATGGAAGCGACCGGCGACGAACCCACTCGCTGCATCGGCCGAGACAGCAGCGAAGATCATGGCTGATGTGGAGAAGATCCCGCGCCACGACGTCGTGGTGGAGGACCCAAACCCGACTATCCATGCCCAGCGGAACCCGCTGCAGGATAAACACCACAGCGCCGAGGAGGTCGAGGCCGTGGCCACGCACCTGAAGCGCTCCCTCGAGCGGATGGTTATCAAGATCTTCACGGAAGCGAGCAAGGCCGCGGCGGCGAGTAGCGGTGGCGCGGAGCAAGAGCCGCTTAAGGTTCGCTGGATTGAGGCTTACTTCCCGTTCACTAGCCCTGGCTGGGAGCTGGAGGTGTTCTGGCAAGATGAGTGGCTGGAGATCCTGGGATGTGGAATCATCAAGCAGGATCTATTGATCAACTCTGACGTGCCGGACCGGATTGGCTGGGCGTTTGGACTGGGTCTTGAGCGGATTGCTATGCTTCTTTTCAATATTCCCGATATCCGGCTGTTCTGGTCGCGGGATGAGCGGTTCTTGTCGCAGTTCCGGGCTGGCCAGGTTGCTCGCTTCGAGCCTTTCTCGAAGCACCCGGCTTGCTATAAGGATGTTGCTTTCTGGTTGCCTCCTTCGGCTGTGACGGGTGGTAACAGTGCTGCTGGTGGGGGTGTGCCTTTCCATGAGAATGATGTTATGGAGATTGTTCGTGGGATTGGTGGGGATCTTGTTGAGGATGTCACTCTCATTGATGAGTTTACGCACCCCAAGACTTCGCGCAAGAGTATGTGCTACCGCATCAACTACCGGAGCTTGGAACGGACTTTGACGAATGAGGAGAGTAATGAGTTGCATCTGAAGGTCCGGGAAAAGCTGGTTGGAGAGCTTGGGGTTGAGCTGAGGTGAGTTTGGAGATTGTTGGGTTATATTTTGTACTATACTGTGATTATTATGGAGAATATGTAAGATGTAGCATTCCTCTCACTAAGCTAAGATCGATATATGGATACTATTAAGCTAAAGTTCCAATGGATATAAAACTATAGCCAGCTTCGTCTTTGATTAGAGTGTAATTTAGGGATTACCAAAGGGTTACCCAAGGCGGAAGGAGAATGAAGACACCAGAGGCTATGACAGTGCCCCGAAGAAGTGTATATTATACAGTGAGGAGGAGAGAGTTATCAGGGGGCATAGAGGTACAGACGTCACAAAACAAGTGAAAACACAACCACCAAGATGAGACAATCCGTACGCCTCCAGATACATGCAACAAGGGTGTGTATCATACAGCCGAATCCAAGAGACGAGCAGAAAGATGGCAGGGAAGAGTAATTTTCCGGGGTCCAAAAGCCAGCCGTATCCGAGCATAAAACCCTATCGTGATCATGATGTATGACATATGGTACAGAAGAAGTAAAGAAAAGTGAAAATGCGGAAAGGATCCAAGAAGGTCGAAGGATTAAGAATCGAAGTTATTGTCGACGATTTAAGCGTTCTTGACGACACCGACCTTAGCAGCCTATAAGAGAAAAGAAAGCAGTTAGTCACAATACTCTAGAATGTGTGGTTTTAGTAGGTCGAACTCACCCGCAGAACGCGGCCGTTAAGACGGAAGCCCTTGCTCTGGACGTGCATAACATCACCGTCCTCGAGACCAGCAGCCGGGGCCATGAAGGTAGCCTCGTGCAAGTTAGCGTCGAACTTCTGGGCCTTGCCGTCGACCTTCTCGGCGGGATCGAAGCGCTCGAGACCGTGCTTCTGGAGAGTGTTGAGGAGGATTTGCTGGGTCATGTTGAGACCAGCAACGAGATCGTGGAGGTCCTTGTTCTCTTCGGTCTTAGCAGCGGCGAGCTTTTCCGCGGGCACGGCCAGCAGCGCGCGGTCGAAGTTGTCGATGCTGTCGAGAAGGTCCTTGGCGAAACCCTGGATGGCGAACTTGCGGGCGGCGTCCATGTCGCGCTTGTTGCGCTCAACGAGGTTGCGGGATTCGGCGACAGAGCGGAGCCATTTGTCCTGATAGGAAATTTGGGTTAATATTCGTATGTGAAAGAGCTGCGGAGCTATCCGTAGTAGTGAGTATGGGGAAATAGCTTACCTTGAACTCAATGGATTCCTTAGTCTTCTGTTCGAGCTCCTTCTTCACGGGGTCCTCAGCCTCTGCGTTCTCTGCGTTCTCGGCTTCGGTGGCTTCCTTGGTCTCTGTTGAGTAGAGACGAGTAGACCGGGGAGCGAATGGCCGGATAGCCGGGAGACGAGCTTGTTGTGTGGTCCGTCGCAGCGCCAGCGATGCGGTGGAGGGGGAGGAGGCGGAGAGGATGGAGCGGGCGGCCTGAGCCTGTCTGAGGATGGTCCGTTGGAACATTATGAATAGTGATATGTGGAATTGAGAATGGAGACTCGGTGAACTGGGGACTCATTTGTCCTCGGACAAATTTAATCGGGAATCACCTGACCGCCTTGGCAAGGAAAAACGCTGGGCCGAGGGGACCTTCTCCTGGCTTCTCCAAGGCTATTACGTACTACGTCTGGGCATGGATGCATGGGTTTGAATCATTTCAAGATTAGTCGCATATGAACTAGCACCTTATTGGCCTGTGACTTGCAACTATTGCCCAATTGGCCGTTTGCAACCACCCCGGGTGTACAAAGGATGGAATTCTGACATCAATGTATACAAGCTGAAGTCTATTACTCAAGGCTTTGCATAAGTTGCTTCAGCATAAGCACCTGGCATCACCAGACATTGAAGCAAGAGAATGTAAGCTGTCTATACCATTCATTCCTCACCGTGACATATCGATTACTGCTTTGAGGAGCCATACAAGGCAAGTGATCCCGAGGGCGTACCCAGCTTTATTTACTCTTTTTGGGTTAGCGCCATAGGTAATTTCAACGCAGAAGGCATTTATTCTTCCAAGAAGAATTTTGGCGTATTTATGCCTAGGATATCTTTACAAGTTTAATCATCAAGCCAGTGATATACAGTTTCTTGCTATAAAACCATACTGACCGAAGCTAGCCCGGATCTATATCATCTTGCTAAGCGGGTCTACAACCTCTAGGTGCATGACCTGCGGGGGTTCTTGTTCTACATGTAGACCTGAAACCCGACTTTAGTCTGACCAATCGCCCCACGATGAATTGCCTCAGTTTATTGAGCCAGTTGCTGTGACCGAGATAGCCCTGTTAGCTAGATGATGTTAGAGAAACAGAGGCGGATAGGATATGTGATCAAAGTCATAGGCGGGTCTTTCTCATCAAATTGAAAACCTAGCAATTTCGTTCAGAGTAAAGAAAGCTATTTAGGTGGCGGCATGGTCAGCCAGGTCGGATATCTTTCATGGCAGGATCCTAACGACCTGCAGCAGCTGATTCCGACCATTATCGATCGGAGGATTACTTTGAGGCGAGGTTTATTCCATGATACTTAATTATTGGATACTGATAATTCGGACGAAATCCTCACCGACACCTGGAAAACCACCATCCAGATGCAATAGATATTGCTTCCTCTCAACAATCACGCGTGTCCCTCCGGGATGGGAAAGTTCGGTTCATTTTGAGCTTGGGACTTGAGAATTCGCATGATGGCACGGCCTTCCTCTCGATGCTGCCTCCTGTTATAGTCCAACCCGTAAGCAAGTACAATTCCCTCTTCAGACATGCGTTTCTCCCTAAACCACCGTTTTTCGGCCAGTGTCAGCTCCCCCACGCCGGAGGCTCGAATCAGACCGGATGCTTTGAAGATTTCAAATCTGCGCCGCTCATGCTCGGACCAGAATGCGTGAATCAGGTAGGTCCCGTTAGGACACAAAGGTGAGATCCCGAACTCATGGCCTGATGGAGGCTGGTGGGTCTGGACTTGGTACAACATGGGGCCTTGACCCATGGGCTTGAAGTAAGCCTGGATAGAACCATTAAAGTTCGCCACAATAATACCGGAGATATCTGGGGAACTGGGGGTGGGTATGACAGTGTAGTCTTCCATAATGGGCTTTCCGATGATGTTACAAAGCATTGCGGGGGTATGTAGCACGTTCTTCAAGCGGAGGAAGCTGTGCGAATGTGGACCGGTCTGAAATGGTGAGCCCCTGGTGGAGAGAGTGATAGTTCCCATCCCAATGACTTCGACCCAGCCTCCAGCGATATCCGTGACATACGACTTGAAGGGGATGTAGTCATCACCGAACCAACATCGATCCTTGGCGGTACTCGCTTAGTTAGATGGATGCATCCAGCTCTGCGAAGGAAGGAATACTTACTGGGTGTCGGAGGTGCTGGACCAGACCCAGGAGGGACATGGGGGAGGCGGCCTCTTGGGCTTCTTCGGCATCGACGCCATGGTAAAGCGACGGTTTATTCAAAGTTAACCCCGAGAAACTGGGAGAGTGTGTTGCGAAGTTCGGTTGTGATTCTAGCAAATACAGATACAGAGGGAGATCCGTATGCTGTATTTGCTGTGGAAAGAAGTTGAAATGGAGGAGGAAGGAGATGAGAGAGAAGCGAAAGGGAAGGGAGCAAGAGAGGAAGGAAGCAGCAAGAACGGATTGTTTGTCGTGCCTGAGAAATCACTGCCTCAGACCTTAACCACTTTCTACATGCAATACAAGCGGACAACTCATGGACATTATCCACTACCTATTGTCTTTAGAGACCAGGGGTTTCTCCCTTATAAGGAGACTCAGTATTATATGAACCAACGCTGTCTCCCAGACATAAACATAAAGGCAATGACCAATCTCATGAAGCGATCATGATATGCGTCAATGCTGTTATTTATCATATGAATGAACGAGCTTGATGATGCTAGTCCCATCGGCCAGAATCTCTTTCTCTTCCTCGAGTTGATAACCTCCCCACCGTGGGAGTAAAATTGTCCAGACATACCAGTAGAGAACACCCGAGAGTACACTGTGTCTGTTAGCGAGATAACTCTCACATAGAAAAACTGTCACTCACATTCCAATTCCGACAAGTGGATAGGTGGCATAGAATAAATTGAGATCCCGCCAATTCGCCGGCGGGATGAAAGGTGCTACTAGCAGGACTAAACACACCGCGACCCGTAACCAGACAGCCGGTAACCACGCTTTGAAGGGCCGTGGAAGATGAGGCTCCCGGTAGCGTACTACCAGCAGACCGACAGTGATTGCCAAGGCAAACATCTGTCCAGGGTATCCCTCCAAGTCGAGGATGAAGTTATAGATGTCCCCTTTGGGCGGTAGGGCGAGGACCGACATGGAAGGGATATAGTGTACAATAAGTCCACCCAGTGGAGTCCCAAATGGCCGCGAAGACCCCAGAACCTTTGGCCATGGAAGAAAGCCTTGTCGGGCTATCTCTTGACACACACGTGCCTACCAAATGTTAGTGTTTATTGGCTTTCATTTCCATGTATCCAAAAGCGTACCAGGCCGAAGGTCACCACCATCACATTCCCAGCAGCTGAAATGGCAATGGCCAGTGGGAAGAATATTCTTCCGACATGAGGTCCGAATAATCTTTCGAATAGCAGTGCGCCCACGAGTTCACCACTATTTTTGATCTCTTCGAGTGGAATTACCAGGAAGTATGAAAGATTCGCAAGGAAGTATAGACCACCAGCTGTGATGAGTGCAGTGGGACACACGGTCTTCACTATTCTCACGGGATCATGAACTTCACTGAGGACATTGTTCACATTGCTTAACCCAGCGTAGGAATAGTAGACTTTGAACAAGGCCGAAGAGAGCAAACTCCAGCTCCAGTTCGATCCTTCCCACATCGAATCCCAAGAAAACGACCCGACACCTCTTGACACTGGAGATATATTATCAGTATCTCCATACATACCAAGAAAAACCACCCAGACTCCTGTCAAGGACATCGCGGCAATGAGGAAGATCTTCACCCAGCCAAGAACATTCTGAACAAAGATGCCGGTCTTCAGGAAGCAGCCGTGGACAATCGTAATGGCAGTCAGAAGGCCAACTGCGAGCAACTTATGCTGACTCTCGGTGGGCTCAATACCAAGCGCGAAATATGTGTATTTCGAAAAGATAATGCAGTTGCTCGCCGTGAACCCCAGGAGCACTACCTGGGCAGTTATAAGGCTTGATGCGAGAAACCGCGGTCGGGGATAGGTATACTCGAGGTACACCTGCGAAAAAAGTAAATGATTTTAGCCGGGGTATTTCTGAAATCCCGCAGCAATACGCTTTACCTTTTGTCCCCCTGAGCGAGGTAGCATGCATCCGAATTCCATGAAGACGGCTAGCCCGCAAGCTGATAATATTGTCCCCACCAGCCATACTAATAGAGACAATCCGATGCTTCCGGAGGATCTGACAATTGAGCCAGGTGTTGCGAAGATACCGCTCCCAATCACTTGCGAAACGACTAATATGTATGCGCTTGACCAGTTGATGCTCTTTCTGTAGGGCGTCCCTGGGAGGGTATCGACGTATGGCGCGGGGAATTCATCGGATGAGAGGCTGAGCGGTTCTTGTTGAGGGCTATAAGATAGATTGTTGGGGTGAGCTGATGAATCTAGGAGAGGCTGTCTCTCCTGGACGTCCATATTGAGCTGTTGTAGATGGTTGTGTAGTTTGAACAACTATTTATTTGTAGCAGATCGTTGGAAATCATTCTATGATTGAAATAAATTCATCCAGAGAGGAGAATTGAGGAGATAAGGTGCTTTTACACATGGTGCTTGGAAATCATAACAGATTGGCTGGCACGTCATTCTGGCCGACTGTTGTGTATTGGATTTTTGTAGCTGGGTGGTTTACGTCATTGGAATGTGATTGTATATTCAACTCACTCACTCACATGAGATCGAAATAAGAGCCTATTACGCCTTTGGCTTTGAAATCAATGTGAAAATATGACTGGATACTCCATTCGAGGCAGATATAATGATCCGTACCTAGTGCTATATATAGCACATGATTATGTAGAGAGGAAAGAAATACCCAAAACAAGTAACAAGTAACCAAAAAGGAGCACATGAATATTCCGCCTAATATAAAGCGCAGGTGTTTACATTCTGAAAACCTAAGCTTCTAAAAACCCAGGTTAAATATAAAGAGTCTCTAACTACGTAACCCGTCAGAGTACATATCGGCTGTTTTCAAATTAGTATCAGATCCCAAGATCAAGTTAGTGAAAACTTACAAAGTCAAATTCTCCCTGTCAGTCAAATCCAGTTGACTATTATCCACTACTCGAGCGATTTTGCCCCCATCCGAATCAACCGTCTCGACAACTCCATTGCTAGTGACTTGATTAGCTTCCGCGAGCTTGTCGCGACGTTTATTTTCTCGGCTCAGGTAGATCCGGAGCACGACAACAATGATCGAAGGAAGGATTGCAGCGACCTTAAGAGTTGTAAGCTAAATGTCCCGCATGTAGATTTACCAAAACAGAGACTTACCACAAGCAAAATAATCCAAGTTGGTCTGTATCGAGGCTTTAAATCGCTGTTAGTATGACCAACCCAAGCCAACTCAAACAAAGCACTCACCTTCCATTCCGGCCGGAATAATTGCGGAGAGATAATATTTCCCAGTCCGTATCCAATATGATAAAGCGCAATGACGGTAGTTTTCTTCGTATGACCCGCCGACGCATTAGCAGCCCAGATCATCACAACGGCATATGGGATACCGGTTGTAGATCGTATCCAGATTCCAGCGATGAGACCCCATCGATTAGACCAGGGTAAAGCTGTCGGGCAATTAGCAGTGGGTTGCATTTTGAAAAGAAAACAGCTACTAACCTAGTAGAAGGATACTTGAAAGAGCGCCTGGAATGTACGCAATGAGTGATATCCATGCTCGACAGTTCTGTGATGTTCAGTCCACGTTCACATTAAATCCCCAGGCCTGGCTTACCTTGGTGTTATACAATGTGATTGCAGCTGTGATGAGAGAAACGAACGATACAGCCCCCGACACGGTTCCCAATAGTGTTGTTTGAAGGACGGTGAAACCAAATGACTTGATGATCAGTGAATATTGATTTGTTACTCCGTTTGCCATTTCCTGGGACCAGGCGTGTAGGAAGAAGAGCCATGTTTTGGGGTCTTGAATTGCTTCGATAAACCTAAGCGCTCTAGTTAGTTATTGAATCTTGAAAGTACTTCAGATAAGGAGGCCTGACTGGTATCTTTTGAAAACCTTTTGCTCGATTCCCGAATGGTTTTCTTTGATCCGTAAAATGGCCTTTGCACGCTCCTCGGGTGTCAGGAACTTGGCATGGATAGGACTATCAGGAAAGAGGAGGTAGACAAAGACACCGAAAATGACCGTGAGCAAACCAGTGATAACTGGAATATAGATCAGCAACCCGAAGGATATACCGGGGGAACAAACATACCCATGAACCATTTCCACGGAGAAAAGCTGCCGGTATCAATCCAGAGAACACCATAAGACAGCAAACCCGATGTGATAGGGCTTGCATTACCAATTGACCACATAACCGGCATCATAACGGCCTGCTCGCCATAAGTAAAGAACATGGACATGGAAAGCAGGAATGCTGGAACGATGGATGCTTCTGCTACCCCAAGGAAAAAGCGAACAACAAAAAGAGACGCAAAGCTGTTGCAAGGGATGTGCAAGAGGGTGATTCCGCCCCTTTAGATCCAGTTAGTAACTGATATACCATTATTCGAGGACCAGCGAAGAACATACCATACTATCAAATTGCCAGCCAGCCACTTCCCAACAGGAAAACGCTGCAAAGCCCAATTCTGTGGCCATTCAGCCAAAAGATACCCGAAGTAGAAAATCGAAGAGAGCCAGTTATATTGATTCGAGTTCAGATGTGCATCTTTCATTATCCCTAGGATCGCAGAACTTCCAAGCTGCTAGCATGTTATTACTGGACTCTCATATTTGGGGAATTGAATTAACATACCGTTTGCTTGTCGACATACATCAAGTGATACCCAATGCAAAGAAAGGGCAAAATCCGCCACAAGCACTTTTTGCGAATCTCTTTTGCTTCTTCGGGAGTTGGGTCTGTGACTTGAATTTTTGAGAATAGCTTGAAACTCTCATCGGCAAATTGACCGGGGAGCTTTGGCGCAGTGTTAAACTCATTATCACTTTCTTCACTGGCTTGTCTTTCCGCCACAAAGCCTGACTTATGATTTTCTACCGCCATCGTATAACGTATAAGCAATGAAGAATACAAGCAGCGCGCATAAAAGGCTTAATCAAACACAGATAATCGTAGCCCTACACAGGTACTTATGATGCTCACCGGCCTGCAGATAAAATTGCGCAATGTCCCCAACCTCCGTCGTCTTCACACCACGGAGAACTTTACCTACAGATAAGAGGAATTAGA